AGTACCTGCTCTGTGGTGGTCCTGAACTTTGAAGAACAGGGTGAAAGGGGGCTAACAAAGTCTGTAATTGTAAAACTAAAAAGTGCTCCTCTATAGTAAGTGGAGCTCATAAAATGCGTGTGCTTTTGGAAGGAAATGGAATTGACATAAGCCTTAGGACTTATTAAGTTATTTGTGTTGCAATATTATAGTAATATAATAAAGTTTTAAGGAGGCAGTAATGCAGTGAGGTCTAATAAAATCAATCAACTTCTTTAACAACAGAATAATCTTGGCCCAAACAATAAGCACTGCAAATCTTATTACATATCAGTCACAAAAATACTGATACTGGCAAGCTACACTTTTAGACAACCACATTCTAACAACAAGGTGTTAACCAAAGGAAGCTGCAGAGCTCTGTTCTCACGACCAGAGCAGATGCACTCTAGTAGTTTGTTTGTAACGTGTGTTGGCATCAAGCTAACACCCACCTTCACACTCACTCCCTCCCAAACAATGACCTCAGCTACTACACAGTGCCTACCACGATAACACACATCCTGTTTATCAGAGATTAGATCTATTTTCACCAATGACACTTGCAAACTGACACTTCATCTGATTTTAAAGGAGATTTTTGCTGAAGCACCAAAGATTGTTTTTAGGAGAGCATCTACCATAAAAGACTAACTGATCACCCAGCTTTTCTTGAGTGAACTCGATTTGAGGATACAAGAGTTGATCAAGTCAAACTACATAGTTTAGTCAGAAGTTCTCACATTTTTAGTACTGCATCTCTGTTAGGTGAACAAATTGGTTTTTGCTCCATTTCTCTGCGAGCTCTTTCCATCACGCAGTCCCACCAGACACCTTCTCCTCTTGGGCTCATGATCTCCTGATGTCAAAGTGAACATTTAGACACTTGCTGTGCTTTACTACACACTACCTTTCAGTTAAAATGTGTTTTTTATTGTATTAAGCATTAATGGACACAGAAATCTGCATAACTTCAGGTGCTTGAGTGCTGCAACAGACTCACCCCAACATCAGGAGACTGTGAGTTTGAACCCCAGTGAAGTGAGAGACTTCCATATCTGGGAACCTGGAAGGAGAAAATGCCTGGTGGGAGCTAAAACATTACAGTGTGAGGGGAACTTTTGACTAAACTAAGAAGTTTGAGTTCAGTGAAATCTAGTCAGGCCTGACAGCTTAAAAGAGAAGCCACCTTGTACTCCAGCCACGGTTCTCAGAGTTCTTTTCATGCAATCTCTTATGATACTACAAGTGTATGTTGATAGAGTCGTTCAAACTGATTAAAATAAAATAAATATTAACAGCATTGTCATTACATCTGCCTGTAGTAGTGCAGCATAAAGCACAATGCAAAATATTTTTAGATTTCATATTGAATAAGCAGTAGGCCTAATTTTTATTCACCATTAACATACAACTACATTTTCTCAGTTATATTGAAAGAAGAATCAAAAAGCTAATAGACAACATCCAAACAACAGAAGAGCGTGAGTCTGAAACCCAGTGATGCAGCAGCCTTTTAATACCTGAGTTTAGATTTAAAATTAGTCACCGTTCAAAACAATCAATGCACTCAAATATCCCTTTGTATTATTAAAGGGTTCTTTGCATCATGAAAGCGTTCTTCAGATTGATGAAGAATGTGCTGTAGATGGATCTATGTAGAATCTTTTTGAAAAGGGTTCTATAAAGCACCAAAAAGGGTTCTTTTACTGTTACAATGTCAAGCTTGTAACAATAGAAGAACACTTTCAGGTGCTACATAGAACCCTTTTTAAAATGATTCTATATGGAACCACATCACATTCTTCATCAATCTAAAGAACGCTTTAATCACGGAAAGCGTTCTTTGAGTGTTCATGGTTCTGTAGAGAACCATTTTCTTTACTTAAGAACCCTTGAAGAACCATCAAGGAACCCCTAAACGCTATCACAGCAAACACAGTTACGTTGTGACAGTGTCATGACAATTTGTTGTTTTGGTGCCCACAACGCTGTCACAACAATAGCTGCGCTCCAAAGCCTAGGCTGCAGCTGAGGTAGTGCGGGTCCTCAGTAGGACTGTCCTATGAAGACTCCCTCTTAGTAGCCTGCTGGTTACACATATGGACCAGTCCTAACGAGACTGCATGGTGACGTCACCAGAGTGTCATGAAACTTGAAGAATGGAGCCCGTTGCGTTCTGTTTGTTGCTTTTTCATTTCTTTACTGAAATGGAGAAAATGCTCTTATGTAGTATGATAAACTAGATATATACAAATACTACTAAATAAAATACGATATATGGACGATGCTTTAATTAATCAGTGATTTTACACTTCATAAGGTAACAAAGACGAATTCAAGGACGTGAAAGACTTACATCTTAAATTAAACTCCAGTGGCTTTCAGCAATTTTCGTGGTGCTGTTTTTTTTTTTCCTTTGTGACGTTCGTGCGCAGAGAACTGTTGGTAACCCAAAGCCTGGAAGGATACATCTGATGCATCCTTGAAATCACTCCGAACGTAGGCTGCATTTCTAGGCTGTATATGAAGGATTCTTCACTTTGGAACGGTCTGCTATGATGTAGCAGCTGAGAAATGCAACCTAGACTTTGGAACGCTACTGTTGAAAAGTAAAAAAAAATTGTGACAACATAATCTGTTGCACTGTCACAACCTTCTAGATGTGCATTATGTTCTGCATAGAACTCAATGGAATTTTTCTGAGCTGCCGACTGATAGTATTCCGATGACATCACACTCGCACTGCCATCATTTTAGCAGGCAACATAAGTTAATTCAGCTGTGCTGTGGTGCTTTGTAATGACATAAAGCCATAACTGCACCAGCAAAAGTGGTAAAACACTGGGATCATTATTTTAAATCTTATTTTTAACGTGTATTAACAGATATGGTTTGAGTGTATTGTCTTGATTTTATTTGATTTGTTGCTGCAGTGATAACAAATGAAAGCTGAAAAAAAGCGCCCCATCCCAAACCACGTACTAGCGTATGTTCTAATGGCGCATATGCCATTAAAAGTGCACTCATTAGTGTAGTAAGTGAAGTACAGAAGCGTGTGGTTTGGGACACGGCGTTAGATCAGCCAGTGAGACGCATTCAACAGCTGCTGTGCTGTGCTGCTCATTAAACATCTCCAAGCGCAAGTTTGAAGTATTTGTTGATTAAGGATCATTTATTGAGGCAAATCAGTGTATTTACTGAGGTGAGCTGATGTTGGCTTTATATTCGCCAACTTTTGTAATTCGTTCTACATTTAAGGCTCCTCAGTGTAACTGCAGCACCATTTAAGGTGGAACAGAAAATTCAAATGAGAAGCTGGCATAGAAAAGGCTGAGTTTACTACTTAAGAGCTTTGGCAGAACTGGTAAACAGCCACAAACTGCCAACAACAAAAAAGTCAGACGATAGACATGAAAAAATTGAGCTGGTGGATCAAACCAATTTTATTTTTTTGCCACAAATTCTTTCCATAGTCATAACTCACCAAATAATTTTACTTTGAGCTGACTTCTTACTTTTTTACAGTGTGTTACTCAAAGCTGAATATTTTGTGATTTGAAAGTTATTAAGATAAAACAAATGGCTTCATAAAAGTGGAGACTCAGAATGTGTTGTGTATCATTTAGTATGTCCATGTGGCTGTTTCTGTGTTGGAAAAGCTAAGAGGAAACTAAAAGAAAGATTTGCAGGGCATAAATACGCTAAAACAATATTCTTTAGTGAAACATTACAAAGAAAGACATCAGAGTAATTCTTCATCTTTAAGCCTGCAGGTCCAGATATGGTAAAGACGAGTATCTGTGAGTATCCGACTCCAACATGACAACATTCTGGATTTGGTAGTTTAGGGCTACGGAGCTCCCTGGGATTAGATTTTGGGCATTTTTTGTAAGCTGTGTAGAACTTCATGATAACCTTGATACTCTGTGTCTTTTTTTTTTTTGCTCTGGATTTATTCTTTTCCTCATTTTTTGGGTCTTTTATTGTCTGTTAATTAGATGTGTAGACAACTTGAAAGATTGCCAAAAAGGCTTAAATACACATTTCTTTTTTTCTGCCCTGAAAATAAATGAAAATTTTCTTATTGAAGTATCATATCTAAGAGTGCTTTTAGCATTGGTATATCAGTCCTTGTTACCAAAGATCACACACTTTATTTACTGGATATTCTGCTCTTCTAAAATTGTGTATGACACAACTTTCATTCTTGTTAACAAACTTTCAAAAGATTTATTTAGAAAACATTTAATTCATAATATACAGCAAACACCAGTCAGAAAACATGACTATCAGAACAAGGCCTTGTTCAGGCCATGAAAATGTAAACTCAGTCACAAACTAGTAAAACAACCAACACAAAAAAACAAATACTTCTGCAACTCTCTCTAAGGCTAATGTCTGTTAGCAGCCTAATGGGATTCTACAGGTGTCCCAAAAAATTGACATAATTTCGTAGTCTAATAACAGCCGATTCTCCCTCAAATGATCTCAAATTTTAACAAAATATGTAAAAACTAACCAAGTTTAATTTTTTTTTTTTTTGTTGAAGAATGGAGTTCACTAGAAATGAAAAGGCATTTTGTGTGTTAGAATATGCTCGAACACATCTCAAATGATGTCAATTTTTTGGGACACCCTTTAGCAGTATTTAGCGTTAAGCTAACATTGGCTGCTCTTAAACACAGACAGTTGAAGCGTATAAAAGACATTCCATGTTTATGTGAAGTCTAGACTTTTCTCCAAGATGTATTTTCTGCAAACCTATTCCAATCCAATCCACTGCTCCACAGCCCTGTGCTGTTGGGCTTTATACCTTTTCAGCCGTTGTTTGGCACTTGGCATGGTGAACTTATCCTCATGTGCAGCTGCTACAGAGCATCCCATTCTATTGGCAATGCTTTTCCATAAAGATCATACAAGTTGGGTGGGTGCAATTGAATGCCTGTGTCAGCAGTGGGTGTATATCAAAGTAGCTGAGTTCATCAATTAGAAGGGGTGTCGATACTTTTGGACATGAGCAAGTCTGAATTATGTTCTATTGCTCTGATGCTTTAACACCGATTTCCTCGTATATCACTTTCTCTGTGCTGGTCTCTGGGAGCCCAACAGTGTCGTAGACTGTGTTAAGATGCAGACCTTCTGAAAGGGAAAACACTAATTTGTATTAAACAGCAAACTATGAAACACTGAGCAGACTTTCTACAGAGAAGCATAACAACATTTGATTGTTGAAGAGGGGATATTTACCGTGTCTGCTTTGGCTGTTCTTTTCCGTATGTCTGACAGAGTCATATATTGGGTTAGAAAGTGTGAGTCCTAGAGGGAAAGACGACACATACAAACCAACCATGTTTCATTTATATTACAGTATTAGTCCAGGATGCCTTCTAATTTATTGATTATTTTGACAGCACATTTCACTCCAGGTTACCTACCCTGAGTTGCAGGTTTATTGTCTACACCTCCTTGTTTCTACACTCACTCACCATTTGATCAGCTCCACTTACTATATAGGTGCACTTTGTAGTTCTACAGTTACAGACTGTAGTCCATCTGTTTCTCTGCATACTTTGTTAGCACCTCTTTACCCTGTTCCTCAGTGGTCAAGACTCTCACAGGACCACCACAGAGCAGGTACTATTTGGGTAACTTTATGGTTAGTTGACCTGATCAAAAGGACAATGAGTGTAGACAGAATGTAGTGTACCAAATAAAGTGGCCAGTGAGTCAAACCCATTTGTTGCTGCACAATTTACCCTCTACCATGTTTTTCAGTGGAAGGGGACCATCACTGAGCAGATGTTTAGGTGGTGGACCATTTTTAGCACAGCAGTGATACCAATATAGGTCATCTGTGTTGTGCTGGGATGAGTTCCTGGCATTTTTACATACTTAAACCTAGTTGGGCCACCCTGTGGGTGTGTAGACAGACACTATCCCTACTGAAAAAGGACCATTAGAAATCATTAAGATCAAAACATAATGGTTTTGCTTTCTAATAGGAATTGGCTTAATGGCTTCCAATGGAGATCACTATTTTCCCACTAGGAAATCAAGTTCGATGAACTTTAATTACTTAAATTGGAAATGTGATAGCAGATTTAGTATAGCCAATTTAAGTACATTATATTGGGTCAATACAATTGCCTTATTTTGAAAGAAAGACATTTAATTATGTGGAAATACTTTCAATAATTGAATTCAGTTCAGTCAAAGAACGATATAAGTACCGATGTAAAAACAGATTAAAAAAAGAATATCTGTAGAACACCTTCCAAATGCATTTAGAATCAGCCAGTTGTGATATCAACCCATGTTGTGATATTAACCTATGAAAAAAGCCAAAACATATTACAAAGCCCTCAGGAACGAACAGAAACACTTTATGGTTTCTTAGTTTTTTCAGCAGGGAGAGCTTTAGAGCTTTTTTCAGGCCTGAAATTTTGGTCAGAACCTGAATACTGCTCAAGAATTTTTTACAAGCCCAGCATCGTGCTTGAGTTCGACCCTGACCCGAGCTACACACAGTTCTGTCAGTGCCTCACCCAAACATATCATGTTCGAGCTCAAAACTGAGCTGAGAATAACAAAGCTCTGTTCATTCATCACCCAAAGTGCAGAATAAATCCGGACAGGATGGTGACTAAAATAGCCACCATTATAGTGCAGATTAATAAACATGTCGATAATAATATGCTTTAATAAAATACCTAGCTGACAAAAGTTATATTGAAATTCTGCATTAATGAATTTATTCATCAAATACTATATTTTTACAGCATCATCAACGCTTTTCTCATGCTGTGCTGATATAGTGAGATGTCAGCCATCACCTCTTTAAAACAAACTCTATTTCTGCACATAGAACATGTTATATAGAAAATAATTAAACATATCACTTAAAATACTTTTGACCAAACAAATCAAACTTTGTTTGGCTGCACTATATAAAAATACTTTCCTGTATCGATTCACTGTCCCGTTTTCTCTCGAGTGTCAGTGCTGAGTGCTGACCAGCATGCCTGATTAAAGAACGATTTAAGGTAATGAAAGTAGTGAAGAATTAAGTAAAGGGTAAAACTAAAGGCCCAATCCCATTTCACCCCTCGCCCCTAGCACTTAGCCCTTAGCCCTCCGTTTTGCACGTTCACACCCAGGGGTCAGGGTGTCTGGATTTTTGCTGAGATAGAGGGGTAGGGCGAAAACAGAGGTTTTTCAGAGACACACTCCAAACAGGGAGTTATGAGAAAAAAGGAAAAATCAGCAAACCCACAAATGTGAGAATTTTCTCCATTAAGAAAATACAACTATTGTATTTCTCAGTTTAGTGTCATTTCAGTGTATTATGGTCCTTTTCTTCATAACAAGCATAAAAAATCGCTAGAAGTACGCTGATGTTTCGGTAGCTAGCTAGCTAAATTTCCTGTTCCACCTTAAATAGTCCAACACTACAGACACCTGAAGTGCCAGAATGTAACTGCTGCACCATTTAAGGTGCAACAGGAAAATTCAAACAAGAAGCTGGCGAATAGCTGAAGGCAAAACAAAGATATTATCGTATATAAAAGACATAACAAAATCATTATAAGCAACATACAATTAAGGAGGGGGACGGAAATGTAGATATAACTCAGTTCCAAGGAGTAAGGTGACACTCGAAAACAAGGGGTAGGGGCCAAAATAAGAAATGGGATTAGGCGTAAAGGAGGGGGAAATACAGGGTGAAATCTGTTAAAGTGGGAGACGAGCTCTGAAAACATAAACCTGAAATTTAACCCCAAACTGAGCCTGACACACATTTGGATGTCCAAACTAGACATGAGCAGCCGTGTTCCGTTGGGTGTTGACAAAATGTTTAAAAGTAACTTGTCCATATTCATCAGTGGCCAGTTTCTAACCACACATCTGCTCATGGGCTGGCTATTTTAGTCAGTGGACTTTTCTTAACCGAGTGATTGTGAGGTGTTTAAAAACCTCACCTGTGTCTAACACACGCAAACCAGTGCTACACACACTGCCATGCCACGTCACTGGTATGCTGAGAATGGGCTCTAGTGGTCCTGTGGTGGTCCCTTTCCACTGATAGATAGGGTAGAGAGGGGCTGATAAATTGACGTAACAGATGGGCTACAGTCAGTAACTGTAAATGTATTAAGTGCACCAGTATGGTAGGTGTTTCTGATAAAATGGCCAATGAGTGAAGCTACAAGGCAGGATTATCTAATGAACTAGCAACCCAACACTTACACAAGCAGTACAGCAGTAAAATTGTGCTGTCACACTGTGTCTTCACAAGTTTCCATGACACATAGCTTACCTCGAACGCCGCCTTGTCTCTTACGGTGTCTTCCTGCAACACACAAAATAAGTTTCAGTGAACTCAGTGTTGTCAGTTAAGCTTCACAATGTAGTCTGAAACTAAACTGCTAGAAAATCCAGACTGATCTCTTATTAACACTCTACTTTTGAACCACATGGCTTCAAAAAATAAACTAAAGAGATAAAGATAGGAGATAGCAATAGAAAGTCATATCTTGTGTAATTTGAAATAATAACTGTGTTCAAAGACTCACGTTTACTCGCTATGTAGCAAACACATGCTGTGAACAGTAGTAGTACTACTGCTCCTCCTGATGTTCCTGCTATGATGGTTTTCTGGTATTCAGAAACAGCAACAAGACCTGTAGGTAAATAATCCACTCAGTTGAGAATGTAAATCTGTCTTTATATGCATGCAAAACTGAATGAATTATGAAAAACACAAATGTTTTCATGGCTTTTCATATTAATTAATAAGAAATCTAATTAAAAAAAAGTGAAAGAAGAATGTTACTTTGTATTTTGTTGCCGTATGGCAACAGGATGTGACAACTGAACTGTAATCTGTAATACATACACTGAGTAAACACGGCTGTAAGACACTGTGACAGTCATTCATGCATGAAAAATAACATTTAAAACCAACATATATGCATGTTTTTTTTTCAGAATACTGAAAAGTATGAAAATAAATATCTTGACAAGTTTGGGTATGTACTGTCCACATGTACTCCAACTATGATCAGAGAAGAGATTAACTTTTAGGAACAGGAAGTTAAATGAAAATCTGTGTCCTAAACTGGACATTAAAAAATGATTAAGTGACTCCTAACGACCATGCAAGACCTGGTAGACCACCACAACTGCCCCCATCTGACAAACAGCACTTAAAGCTTTCATCTTTGAGAGAGAGGAAAAACTGCTCTCTACTAATAGGGTTCTCAGAACAATGGACTGACCATCGATGAGTCCAGACCTCAACATCAGTCAATGTGTTTGGGACTACTTGGATGGTGGGAAGCAGAAAATGCAACCAACTTCTAAGACTGAACTTTGGAGGTGTTTAAAAACATCCCTGCAGATTTCTCTGAAAAAAGTAAAGAGTGGACACAGTAAATACTGAAAAAATGGAATATTCAGTTGTTGAGGCTTCTGCGTATTTTTCTGTTATTTATATATATATATGTGTGTGTGTGTGTGTGTATATATATATATATACACACACACACATTTGTAGTTCTACAGTTACAGACTGTAGTCCATCTGTTTCTCTGCATACTCTTTTAGATCCCTTATACCCTGTTCTTCAATGGTCAGGACCCCAACAGGACCACCACAGAGCAGGAACTATTTGGGTGGTGGATCATTCTCAGCAATGCAGTAACACTGACATGGTGGTGGTGTTTTAGTGTGTGTTGTGCTGGTATGAGTGGATCAGACACAGCAGTGCTGTGATATATGCAATAATATTTACTTAATGGCCATTTTGCTCTGTGACTAGAATATCCAGGCAGTGTCCATTGTGTCCAGTTGCAGTACACTTATTAACACTGTTTGCACTGTCACATGCAGTTGACAACGGTTATATTTTGTCACATAAAAGCCATAACACCTAAAGTAGATTAATTCTTGTATTGTGTATTAATATATATTTAATTACACAGACACTTTTAGAGACTTCCTGCAGTCAGATCTCACTATGTGAAGTGAAAAAAAGACAAATCTTACAAAGCCTTCAGTTTCCCAAAGAAAAGAAAAAAATGGACTTGTAGTTACATTGTAGTTAAACAAAAAAATTAATTAATTATTGATTGCCATATGAAAACACTACATAGTAAAAGGTTAACCAACAATTATAGAACTATTTTTCTGTTTTAAAGCCACAGTCAAATGTCTAAGAATATAATGTACATGAATGGAAATGTGAAAACTAACCAAGCTGCACTTCCTGATAGGCGATGCTGCAGTTGATTCCCTCATGAAGCTCACAGCGGTAGAGACCCAGATCAGACTGCTGTACATTACGGAGGAGGATGGAGAAGTTTCCAGATTCTGAGAGTTTGGGGAACGTCTTAATACGTCCACCTCTGTTATTCCAGAACATTACTTCACCCTGCAGATTGATCTCCACTAGATTATCTGCTGGTATAGTCCTCTGACTCCACACTGCTGCTATATCTGCAGTCTTGTTTGATCCGAGGAGGGTTGGTTTAAAGATACATGGCAGAAGAACATCAGACTGCAGCTCAGTGGTTAAGTTGCTTCTGCCAACATACTGCATTTGACATCCTCTAGATCCTGTGTGAAAGCATGAAAACCATCATCAGCCATAAAAACCACCAAAACCATCATTAAGAAACAGCTAATGTAGATGTTTATGAGAAAACAGCTCACCTTTGACCAAACAGCACCACCAAAGCATCCACAAACCAAAGAATCTCAGCTCAAAGAGCAGAACCATTGCGTGTTTCACCTGCTCAACGCTGAAAAACAGCCTGAGAAAGTGCAGTGATGGTGAGAGATTGTTCTCAACATCACTTCCTGAAAAAAAAAAGCTCAAAATAACAAACTGCACAACACCACGTTACCACAGAGTTGAGGATTTACAGAAATAGTACATCGCCACACCCTGGAACGACTTACAAGACATTAACACTTTTTGCTAAGTGAGTTTATCTGAAAAGTCACTAGAGGTGATAAACAGTGATAAACGGTTTACAAATAGCTGATTAAAATCTTTCTGGTTCAACACTTTTATTTAACAACTTTAGTCACAAATTCACATTGACCAAGAAATACACAGTACTGGGCAAAAGTTCACCTTTCATTTATACCATTTCCAGTCAAAACAAGAACATACAGGTTATTTATTTTTCAAAGTTAAGACAAAAACAGACAACATTTAAATTTACAGCATGCACGATTTTAGCATCACTGAGTCAGGAGAAAAAAAAAAACACGCAAAAATATGGTGTGGGTGGGCTGGTGTGAGTCACCCTGTAAAGCCTGAAATAATTTAAAAGTCAGAGGCGTGGGATCGAGAGTTTCATAGACCGCGTCATACATCTTATTGTCACGCACACTCAAAAAGACAAAAAAATTATTCACCTGTGACTGAAACGTACCTAATGTGTGTAATACCTCCACGAGCATGAATAACAGCTGTGACGCGTTTCTGGATGTAGGCGACATCAATGTTCAACTCTTGCATCAAGGAATTGCACAGTTTGTCCAGATTTTGTGGGTGCTTTCCCTGGCAAAACCTGGTTGTCCAGCAGCTCGATGTAGGTACTGTGGTTCAAATTTACTGTCACCTCAACCAAAGAATCTACTTCCGTGTAATTAAAACACCCCAGAACATCACAGAGCCCCTCCAGCTTGAGCCACACTTTGCCACTGCTGGTAGACCCGTATAACTGTACGCTTCGATACACCTGAAAATTCAGCTACTTCCTTCACACTCTGGCCTTTGGTGCCCAAAAGCAATCACTCTTTTTTGCAACACATTTTCCACGCATTGAACAAAACTGCCCTGTACCACCTCTTCTCAATCTATGAATCCTGTCACACACCCCACAGATATTTATAGTCCGATCATCCTTATGCAACGCCATCTGCAGGAGCCTTAAGTTACTACCAACACGCAAGGTGACTTTTTGTCTGGGGAGGTTTTATATATATTTTTTTCCAGCTTTCAGTGTGTCCACGCTATACCTTAAATACAGCTTCCATTCTTTTCGGGAGACCTTTAGGCTTTCAGTTTCTCAAAAAATCTGCAGGGATATTTTTCCACTGTAAAGCAATCTGTAGAGTCTCTATTTCATATCAAAACACTCTGAAAGACTTTGTTTACATCTCGACGATTTAACAATTTAACCCCTTAAATGGCCAGGGCCCACCGGCGAGGCCAAAGCTTTGTTACACACTTCTATAACCTAAAAAATAACTCAACCAGTATGCATTGTAGTCTCTGTAATTACTGAATAACAGGGGTGCAACGATTATTCGACTTAGTCGACTAAAATCAACGACCAAATTAGTTGGCAACTAATTTAGTAGTCGATTAGTTGGGTGACGTCATTACGCGTCTTTCTCGCGCTCCCTAAGAACGTTTTGACATTTCCGCTGACTGGAGACTGAACAACAGCGCGATGGCTCTCGATAGCAAAATCCTCTGAAGTGTGGAGCTGAACTTGTTGTGCTGTCTGTAAAGCCGACCGTAGCTGGCATGACAGCACATCCTCCACGTTAGAGCGTCTGAAGAGGAAACCCGGCGGCTCACTAGATGAAGGAGATTCAGCTCGGTAAGATACGCCGCGTCCCAAATCGCATACTAGCACACTAAATAGTGTGTAAAAACGGCGCATATAGCATTAGAAGTGCACTCTTTAGTGTAGTGTGTGAAGTACAGAAGTGTGTAGTTTGGTATACATGTGTATTTCGAAGTGCTGCTCTCTGGTGCCGTTAGTGGAGGTGGAACAGAGGAGCAAGGAACCGTTATCCACAGCGACCCTATTCACTTTCCAGGTAACGTCTACACTTCTAAACACTGCATCGTCGTCTTAGCGTCGAGGCCACCGGTGCGTCCAAATTCAGCGTTCACACACTTTCGCCGCTTCCCCTCCGCTCCATCAGCGCATCTCCTCTGCTCTCGGAGGAGAGCGAGTCTCTCACAGGAGCACGGAGAGATACTGACTTCCCTCTGTTTCAATAAAGACCTGCGATTGTAGAGTTTAGTTTAGACAGACAGCAGAATGAACAGATCACGGACTGCGCACTTTAACATTTAAAATTAAATTTGATTTTTTTATTTACTTGGTTAAAGAAAAACTGATTTAGCTTTATTTTATTGCTGCTACTTTGCACATCCTTGGTTATAAATTTTGACAGGAAAAATATATTGGAGTTTTATTTTTTTATCTTCTGTATTTGCAGGAAAGTTAATTAAAACACTGAATTCTTGAAAAGGCGGCACGGTGGCGCAGTGGGTAGCGCTGTCGCCTCACAGCAAGAATGGCCTGGGTTCGATTCCCGGCCGGGTGACCAGGGTCGTTTCTGTGTGGAGTTTGCCTGTTCTCCCCGTGTCTGCGTGGGTTTCCTCCGGGTAATCCTCCCACAGTCCAAAAACATGCAGTCAGGCTGATTGGACATGCTAAATTGCCCCTAGGTGTGAGTGTGTGTGTGGATGTATATGTCTGTTTGTCTGCCCTGCGATGGACTGGCGACCTGTCCAGGGTGTATCCTGCCTTCTGCCCGATGACAGCTGGGATAGGCTCCAGCACCCCACCGCGACCCAGAAGGATAAGCGGTTTAGATGATGGATGGATGAATTCTTGAATGGTATTCATCTTCATTGTTAGTTAGCAAATGCATAAAACAGCCTCAAGCTAAATTTAAAAGCCTTAAGCTTAAGCTAGGTAATGTAGCGATTCATAATCCGAATAATCGATTATTCGTTTCAGTAATCGATAGATTATTCGACTATCAGATTAGTCATTTATTGCAGCCCTACTGAACGAGAAGCCTTAGTATGTAATAAACCTGAGATTTTAAGGGGTTAATTATTAGAACGATTTTATTTTTCTTACTTTTTTCCCCTAATTCTGTGTCTAGCTAGGTCTTCCCCAGTCATGATACTACCAGCGCTTTGCTCTGAGTCATGTTAAAGCCACACCACATTTTTCAAACTGGTGCTGCTGCAACATCACTGGACAGCTCAACACGCTTGAAGGAGAAAGCTAACTGCCAATTCTGTTACATCAGCTAACAGCTGGCTAGTATTACACTGAGTAATGGAGGAAGAGGGAGGGTCAACCTGCCCATCCAGAGAGAACAAGAGGCCAGTAATGCTGTCATGGACTTCTGGCCACGGATGGCTGTGGCATCATTGGTTATGCAGACATTTTGAAAAAGAAAAAAAACAAAAACCTAAATCTTCCCTTTAAGGTAGAACGTCTTTAATGCCTGAAAGGCAAATCCATGAATTTTTATGTCAGTTTACTTTGTAATATTGGATGAAATTCACCTCACATACCGTCTCACTGACCAGGCATAAAGCTGAAGACTGAAGATTAGAGAGTGGCACCAGAGCTTGCTGCAATGTGCTGACGTGAACAGGAGCTCTTCTGGCATCTTCTGCTGAAATGTATCAATAACTAGTCCATGTTTATCAAAACTCTACTAAATTATGTCTAAATGGATTTCAGTCAGGAAACAAGGTCGGGATTCTTCAAGACCTGGACTGGACGTCCACCTTCAACATGGCACATCTCACACTCCCAAGAGAAACGACAGGAGGCCGAAGGTTAACTTTCAGAAAGGTGGAGCGCTAATCCACTTTATTGATTGGTCTGAACTTTTTGTAATTGGCTACTTAAGAGACATTGTGCGATACAAACATTGCGTTTCAACATCATGGGATACACGGGTTATTTCAAGTCTCGATTCTGAACGGACAAAAGAAAAAAAAGTTACCACTGCAAGGTGTTGGACTGAAAAAATAGACTAAATGATGCAATGATCGACTTTCATTTTCTTAAGATTCAAGTTTCACCATCTTTTTTTTTTTTGTCAACGCCATTGTAAACACTTGGCATCCCATTAAAACAGGATGAATAACATCGATGTTGAAAATAATTTTTAAAAAATCTCAACATGAGCTTTTTTTCCATTTCAGAAGTGAAATTAATTAAATACATCAAAACAAAAAGCAGACAGGTTTTGTTACTGGAGCGAAGCGAAAGCAAAGAAAACCGAAACATTTAGCAGGTTATGTTTTAAAACAGTTTTTAAGGTCTTGCCATGGAACATACTGTAGCTGTCAGCATTACTGTTAGACAGACCTTTGCCATAGAACAGACAGCTCATGTTTGTGCAGGTAACTAAAACTGAGTGCTTTTTCTATTAGACATCAAGAAATGTGAAAAGCCACCACTATGAAGCAGCAACTTCAACAGCCTTACTGTACCATAGATTAGAGCAAAGATCAAGTGATGTGTCAGAACAAGCCTGAAAACAGTGGCAAGAGTTAAAAACATCCAAGTTTTCCGAATGGCGACTGCAAAATGTGAACAAAACCGAATATTTCAAACCTCTGCACAAGCTTGAATAACTTAGATTACAGGTAGTACGCTTTTAATCATTGTCAAAAGTTACTAAGCAAAAAAAGAAAAGTGCAACAACGGTGCAGAGGTGCATCAAACAGAAGTTTGTTTTTTTTTTCCTTTGTTTTGGGTGGGAGGGGGGTCATCATTATGTTCTTCAGCAATTAAAAAAAGAATAAAATAACAAATGAAAGAATGAACTGAAGGTCACAGTTTGATTTCTCAAGACCCTCTCTGAAACGACAAAGATTCCTCTAAGAAGAAGTAGAAGAGGGGGAAAAAAAGAAAAAAAAGAAAAAAAAAAAACAGCAGAACAATTAGCACTTGTTAGCAACCACACAGAAGCAGTTCAGGATGTTAGACGCAAACCCATGGCCAGTTCCACCATGGACCCCTGCTTAGCACAGGAAATAAAAACCTAAAATAAAAATAATACATAGAACTTTGAAGGAAAAAAAATTAAAGAAACATTCAGCTTATATTTCTTCTTTCACTGGGAAGAGAAAAAAAAAATTTAAAAAAATCATACGGCTCCAACACCAGTGTTCTCAACTTGTTCACATGAACCAAAAAGGAGATGGTGTCTTTTCTTTCGTAAACTTTGCTTTTCCTGCAGGCCTGAAACTTTTTTTTGTTTTTTTGTTAGTTTTTTTTTTTTTTTAAACTTTCACCTGGGTAACAGGTCATACGATCCTTTTATAAACATCGCCCACATAGAAGCAGAATCTATTTCTATGGTTACGCATGTGCCTCCACGGTGCTATGAAGGCAGGGTCCACGCCTCTGATTGAAATGCTCTCTTCCCGTGGTGTTTTTCTGAAGGTTTCTGTGCTGTGGTCAGTCAGAACACTGATCAGCTTGATCAGTCCAGTTCAGAAGGAGCACCAGCACTTTTCACATTGAGAGCAAGAACTTCCATGTAATCTCAAACCAGCAGGGTCTGATTTAAAAAAGCAACATTAAAACGCGAAGAAATAGAGAGGGGGGGGAAAAAAAACACTGCAAAAGGTTACTCTATTTACATACATTGATTTTTCTTCCTTAAAGACAAAAAAAGTATTTCTTTACAGAAATTGAACAAAATCTTAAGCAAATAAGTCTTTTTAAAGTTTTCTTTACATTGCAAGTTCTTCATCCTTTTTCGCTTTTCAATGTTTCGTATGTTTTCTTATCCACAAGCAGGCCACAGCTTCCGGAATCCGTTACAAAGTTTATCCTGAAGACTCAGCCGATTAGTGACCCCCTCGCAATGCTCTCTCTGACCACCAGAGAGCGACAGAGCACCAGAAGGGAGTCCTCCTCCCCAGCTAATCCCCACACACAAGAGTGGCAGTGAGAGGGACCTGTAAAAGCTGGGAAGGTGGGGCGCTGGTGGGAGGGACACTTTACTGTGGTGACCCAAAAGACTGGGGGGGTTGGAGGGAGATAAGAGTTCATCGCTAGGCTCAGTCGTCGCTATCCGACAGGGTTTCGTACTGTTCCGAGAGAAGCGGCTGTTCCCACGCACGGGCTGGACCGACGGGAGCGCTGCCGCCTCCTGGTTGCTGCTGCTGGGACTGCATGGAAGGAGAAGGGCAGGCCATGGAGGTGGGAGGGGTGCTGCTCAACATCCGCATTGTCAGTGGGTTGTAGGGGAACTGCATGGAACCTGAGATTGAGACGATAAAGAGAAGAAGGAAACACCAAAGTCAGTCCATTCAAACTAAACTTAAGTATAATCAGCAAACTTAGGTAGACCCTCAAAAAAAGACCAACTGCATAAATGCTGCTCAGATGAACAGCTCACCTGTGGATGAAGGCCTGTCCTCCCAGGTCCAACTCGGGGCCTGCCTGTGGTACTCTCCCTCAGAGTGCACCGAAGAGACAGAGGAGGGCCGCTCCCCGCCCGAGTACACCTGCCCTGGGTTGGGTGATTTGGACTTCCTGCTGCTGGCCTTGCTCTGGAGCTTCTGCTTCCCAGCTGTGGGGACAGCGAGACATTACTAACTACAATAGCAGGCACTGGATCCTCACATCATAGTACTGAACAATGTGCTAATGGTTACTAAGCAGACTAAAGAGACTGAGAAATTAATTTTTTATCCAAAGGGAAACATGACTTTAGCAAGAACTTAGCCGTATGCAAAAGTCTGAACACTCCTTACATGTTGACTGTCTTATTAAAATTTAACACACCCTCTACAGGTTTCAGATTTAAATATAGCATCTTACTGCAAATTGTAGTGCACAGTTTCTATGTATTTGCTCAGTTTAACATACTGGAAAAAATATAAAACATAATAAATGTGCCATTACTTTGTGGACAGGCCACATTTCATGCGCCCAAACTTTTGCACACGACAGTGCACACCTTTTTACACTATTTATACAGAAACCACATGTGACCAAAGAAAGGAGAAGTCAAATTTAAAATAAATGAATGAATGAATTATTCATAATATAAATGTACAATTTATTAACTATTTCATACACAAGAACTGAGTTCCTTTGATAATATATAGGAAATGGAAATGAATGCATGATTGAATTACTCCTGTTAATTATTGTTAATGACGACTAATTTTTTAAGGAAGAACTAATTTCTGTCATGGTTAAACATAAAATCACATCACAGCTATCGTTTGGAATCAAAAAAACTTTTTCTGAGTCGGGTTATGGAGACAGACATGAGTGTGAGTAGTGATGAGGTTGGCAAATGAGTTTTCCTTACAATATCTACCTGTGTTGGGGGAAGGAGTGGCCTCCTGTCTCCCCTCTGAGACACCCCCTACACCGGCTGTGTTGCCTGCTGTGGCAGCTCCAGGCTGAGCTTGCTGCGTCTGCTCCTCTGGCCTCTCCTCCACACTTCCCATCAGAGCCTTGCGGATGATATCCTCCAGACCCAGGTTACTGGCTGGGTCACTGAACGAGTGGTTCCTGGGGTTCACGTTACCTGTAGAGGGTGACACATAGGACAGAATGGTAAAGCAAGAAAAAAAAGCATCTGGAAAGACAAATAGGTCAATGGCTAGTGTTAGAGGAGAGTTAACAGAAGACTGCCAGTTCAAGGCCAAATACCAGAGGGCTACTGGTTTCAACAGCCTTTTCTTAGCCCTTCTGGAGGTAATGTGATGTTCTTAGAAGATGTAAACCCATCAAGGCAAGTAATGCTAAAGCAGCCCGGGCTAAAGAGACGAAGTGTCTATTACATGACCTTCGTTTACCAAGGTAAGGTTAACCTGCTGCAAGAGTCAAACCCAGGCATTGTGTACTCACTTGAGCTTGTTACTGCTGGTAAATTAAAAATCTCCGTGCCAGGCTGTGCATTACCTGGAAAACAGACAGAAGGTTCAACAATTTGAAGTGTTGATCATTTATATAACAAACCCACAAACCCTTACCATTAATTTCCTGATGTGATTTGATGCTTTAAAGGGGCTGGGGCAACTGACAAATATGACAATACTTTATTCTTATCGAGATAAACAATGTGCTTTTCAGAGCATGTCATGGATGTTGTTTGTATTAAAAGGACACTGAATGGCTGCATGTTTAATTTGAAAGAAAAATTGGATTTACCGCAGCATGTGAAATGCTAAATTAAAACGTAATTAATGTCACAATAATGTAATGTTAATATTACATTATTATAATAAAAGTTTTTGACAGCAGTTTTTAAAGTTTGCACAATTGATGCACTGTGTGACAAATATTGTGTTGCAGATCATAAAATCATCATAAAAACATTCGAGCATCATTCATCATATTTTTGCAGTACTGCTCAGCCCCACCGGGTGGCCAATTAAACGTAAGCGCTGCCCAGCTTGGATAAGATACAGACATAACAGCAGATTAATGTTTGCTGCCTAGCATTCAGTTTTTATATGGTATACACACATTGTTTTGGCTAAAATGAAATTCACAATCTATTTTCAAATGTTAAGATGCATTAAATGATAACAGTCTGTGGCAAAGATGGTGGCAGGTGCCAGAAGGGCAGTGTCTTGCTCTAGTCTTCTAGACACAGTAGGCTTTAATCTCAATTTCTTGGTGTTTAAAGAAATCATTTCCTGAGGACTTAATTATTAGTTTGGGGTAGTTTTATTGAAACGCCGTGTTGTAACCCTAATTAGAGGATAACAAAAGATGTGAAACTCAAGCCCAACAAGTCAGAGTTCCCCTTTCTGGATGTCTGCAGACATAAGTAATTGACATCCTATGGCATTCTTCAAGCCCTAATAACAAAATGCAGATCTATTAGGCCTTTCTTTTAGATTCGGCAGCCCAAATAGCACTCAGTGTTGGTATAAGGACCTATTTTTACTATAGAATAGATGCTATTAATATACACTGCTATAGAAATATATGCATTTTTTTCTCTGGGCCAGTCTGAACTGTAAAACTTCCAGCTGCACATGAATTCTTCCGATATGATATTCTGCTAATGAACAAACTGCTAACCAATCACAATTACACTTCTGTAATGTACAGAGAATGTAAAACTGTATTTCACATGTACAGTGCATTTTGTGAATTAAAAAAAAATTCTGTGCTATATTACTTTGGCCCCTAGCCTTTTTGATGACACCACATACACATGACACTGGCAGTTCTGAAGGGTCTATCACTGCACCTGATAAAGGGGAAACAGTGATAATTATATTCAACTGTTACATTTTGGGGAATAAGAGACGTCCTTACCAACTTCAGACTTGCGGAAGATCTCCTGCTTCTTGGACATCACCATGGGGGAGGTGCTCTCCAGCTTGGTGAAGAAAGAGGGCAGATAGCTGCCACTGCCCGGGGAGCGTGAGTCCGTCCTGACACCAGAGAAAGGGCACATGGTTGAGGGGGGTTATAGGTCAAAAGATCAGTGAGTTGATCAGGAGTTGTGGGAATGTTTGGGTGTAAGCCAAGTTTCCACTAGAGGGGGAGATGCCAATACTGGCTGATGGGGTTGGGATTACATTGCTCTCATGCAAAATGATGTCCATCTGATCTAATGCCAGGGTGGGGTTATCCAGAAGCAGCTGTTGGAGAGGCTCTACACCTTCTCAGTTCCTCTCCAAGCACACGCTTGAACAGCACACCAATCAGCGTTGTTTTCTGTGCTCTGAAGTATGCTTCTATGTAATCAATAATCTGCTGTCTTAAATCAAAGAATATAAAAACCAGCAAGGTATGTCCTGTATATATGTTATAGTGACTTGCACTGTCCACCAAAAGCATAGAAAGAAACACTAAATCTGTGTTTTAACATGAAACTTTTGCAAGTATTTCTTCTTAATTAATTGAAAAATAACAGTGAAAAATCTTTGTCCTCAGCCTAATGGCAGGCAAGTGTACATGTTTAAACAAACACACATGTATGTAAGCGTACCTCTGCTCAGAGAGGTCCTGTTCACGTCTCTGGCCCTGGAGCAGGTTGCTCTCTTGTTTTTCCAGGCCTGAGTAGCTCTGAGGGGGGGAGATGGGCTCATAACTTTCTACGCCCCGGCCCCCTACTCCACCGGCACGATCGGGAGACTTCCCTGGCCTGTCACACACAGAGAGAACAGATTTAAAACAGACATGGCTAAAGACATCTCAGCTTTGATATCAGAGCTTACAGTACATCAATTTAAGGCTGTGACGATTAGAAATTCTGATTTGTGAACAGCTTTCCTTTGAACTGTTCAAATGTGTGCAACTAAGCGAAGCTGTCGATCACCATGTAAGGACAAAACATCATTGGTCAGAGACGATATCATCAAAAATCCCAAGCCAGATTTCTGGGAAGTTGATGGTTTCCTGTAAGTAATGTCACGTACCTGGATCTGGGCTTGTCAGGGGCGTTCTCAGGGGACACCCTGCTGGATGGTTTCTGATGGTGGGCAGGGGGGACAGGGTTCTCTGGGCTGTAGCGGTTCGGACCTTTGGTTCGACCCACGCCACCTCCTGCACCAGAGCTTTGGAATGTAGAGGACATGGAGGAAGAGGAGGAGGAGGAGGAGGAAGGCAGTGAGCTGGAGGCAGGAGGAGGGTCCTGGTTCCTGGCAAAGTCTTGGGTTATGATATGCTGTGGGATAAAAAACAGAGACAAAAGTTTTAGGCTCTTTTAAAAGTTTTAAAAACCTTTTTTCCTGGGCAGTAAATGTTTATTTGCTCTAAAAAAAAGATAACATTAGAATAAATACAACATTAATACAATAAGTGGTGCTTTTATATGTGTCAAAACGTTCACTTAACCATTTCCAAAATACTCCCTGTGGCAGTCTAGTATTAATTGTAGTTATCATTTAATATCTAGTCTGGCTAATTAATACTTATACGCTTAACTGAAAAATTCCATCACCAGCACACTTAACATTAAACATATCCATGCCATGACTGAGGGCATTGAGGAGAAATATGAAACTGAACACTGTTCTTCAAACTAGCTCACAAAATACTTCTTTGAAAATAAATTTGTCTTACTTTTTACTGTATTTATGTGTGTTTGTGCATTCTAATGACTTCAAATGCACACTTATTGTCCTGATAAATAGTTTTAAATAATCTTGCACACGAGTGTGCATATTAAAAGGACACAAAGTTGATAGAAATTAATTCTTGTGTATGACTGTAGTTTAAGCAGCAGTCTACAAGTACGTGCACCTAAGCACTTTGGTGCTGATGACATGCTCCTCATTGCCACATCAGTGGTCAAAACTTACTCTTGTGGCACACCACAACATTCACTCAGTACACTTCAACCTACTGCAATATTACACTGCATCACAAAATATAAAACCAAGGATGAGGCTTGTCTATTGTAGAAATATTGAGTGGCCCACTTCTTTAAGTAAAGGTAGGTGACTGTGTTAAAAAACTATCAATGCAAATTCATGCACAGCGGCAGAAAGCATGTGACTGCTACTGCGTTACCGAGATGTGGTCAGCCAGGGTCATGACGCGGTGTGTCTGGGTGGAGGGCGGCGGTTGGGGTGCTGCGGGTCCTGATTCCAACTGCTGTCTGTACCGACTCATATCAAACCCTCTAACAGCACCTGGGAGGGAGAGAGAGACAGACAGACTGGATTACATTAGCTCACAGAACAAAAGCAAAATGTTCCTGAGAGAATTTCCTCCATTTCTACTCCAGCAGCACTCAAAAGGAAGAACATATGGAGCATAAACAGTCTTAATATATTCTGATCCAGGATGTCTATGTGGTTAGAAACTGTTTATCCCAGTTTGAAACAGCAATAAAAAAAAAATTTAGGCATTTTATATTTAGCTGTTTTCACAACACAAATCGTACAACACACTGAACATGTCACAAATGAACGATGGTTAGTCCCATTATGCAATTACATTTACCACAAGAGTGAGTTTCTCACCTGTGGCTGGCTGAGAACTCTTCTCTGGCGGGAAGTCACTCTTCTCCTCTCTCTGTGCCGGAGAACTGGCTGGGCTGATCACCTCAATGGCTCCACTGCTCTGTGCCTCATAACGGCCAGACGGCACTGGACGAAAGAGAGGTAAACCGTTAAACCTTTATATACTGAGACACTGAATTAAATCAATGTACAATAATAAGAGGTTGTTGCACCAGAACGGCATAGAACTCACACAACCTCATTCCTCAATTCTCATGCAAAACTTGACTAATACTCCTAATAAAAAGGCAACTTTCAAATAAGCCAGCTCACTAATTCTTTTTTAAAGAGTATGACTCCTGAGAAATAAAGTACAGAAAAAATGAATAGAGAATATTTTTACTCCCTTTCTAATGTTTAACCACTGCATTATGTGCTTGTTGCTCCCTATTAATACACTTGATTTTGGAAGAAACGCTGCGTCAGTGGGAGTGCACAGAAGTCACAGAACACCCTTCACTTATTCATTTTTCAGCAGAGGATTTTTCACACCTCTGAAGTTCAGTCTTAGAAGGTGTTTGCATGTTCTGCTTCTCACAATCCAACAAATCACAAACACATTAAACAATGCTGAGGTCTGGAATCTGGGGTGGCCAGTCCATTGTTCTGAGAACGCCAGCAGATTCTTTGTTAAATTTCCAAATTTTCTTATTCCTTTGTTTTGGTGCATTTTCTTTTCTCAGTAATGGCTACCTGACAGCTAGTGTTTCTGACAGACAGAAACACTTACAGATTTTTTTCAGATCAGAAGTAAAAGTGGCGCTTGATTTAGAAATGTTTTAACTGAAGGGTGGTCTCTGACTTTTGCACAACACTATATAGTTTAGATAAGACAGGATTTCAGAGTAAACGGTCACATTCGCCACTCACAGCTGCCGGAGGAGTCTGAGCTCTGTGAGCCCCTCGCTCGGGAGTCTTTGTCTGAGGCAATCTGGCGCGTGATGATGACGTCAATGAAGCTGGCGGCAGTGATGGTGGTCTTTCCGTGTGTGCGAAGCTCCTCCTCTATGCGGGACTTTGTTGGCGGAGCTTTGTCTTTGTCACCCCCACCACCACCATCGGTGTACACAGGAAGTGACTGTTTCCCACTGGGATGTGGCACGGCTCCGAAGGGGGACTGCATTGAGCGGCGCTCAGCCTCCTGCTGCTCGGCTGCCGCCCGTCGCGCCGCACTCACATCATTGTCTCGAGGGCCGGCGCCCTCGTGCTTGCCCTCTTTGACCTTAGCCACGTCTATCTGAGGCGCAGAGGCGGCAGCATCCACCAGGGCGGCCAACGCGTCTGCAGCAGTGTTGTAGCGAGAGTTGGCCTGCGCTGCAGCTGCTGCTGAGGGCATCTGCCTGCTCAGAGGTCAAAGAGCAAGAGTTTGACACAAGCAAACAAGGTTAAAAATGAAAATAAAGAAATAAATTAATAAAACATTGTTAAATGAAAGCTTTCCAACTAAAGTGCTTGAACAAATAAATTAGGACTGTGGTTCCTGGTCCTGGTGTATTCACTACTCTGCACATTTTAGTGTTTTAAATGCTCCAACACATATAGGACTTACTAACTGCGGAGACTTGGCACAACTGGGGAACACTAATTTAGCAAATAAAAACACTCGTTTTCAGGACCGGGCACAGACATTTTGGTGGGACAGGGGATCAAGAAATGTAATTATGTTCCAGATAAAAGTATGTATAATGTGGAACCTACATCAGAGGAGTGATCACACTCTTGGTTCCTTGGAAAATGCTGGGCCTCGGCTGGACCACACTTTCCTGTGACCTCATCGAAGGGGAGGGGGAACGCAGGAAACCACGGCTACCAGGCCTGCCAGGCTGCTCTGCAGCTGAGGCGCACAGACACACGAAAACAAACAATTATTTGAAGCTTCCACACATTTTTAAAGTAACGAATTATGTAATTAAGCTGAGACACGAAGTAATGAAACAACTGATAAACGTTTAACGGTGGTGTCTACGGTAAAAACACAATATCACAACACTTCAGAGACTGAGATTTGAGACAGAGATTGTTTCCATACATGATATGCGTCATAGCAGTTTGATCAGTTGTAACAGACGAAAAAAAGCCATGTTAAAAATTACTGTCAGAAACTATGACCTGATTTTTATTCTATCTCACTGTAATGAGACATGCAATTATTCAGTGTTAAAGCACAGATTATATCAACAGGTGCTCAGGAAAGCACACTGTGATGTAATTTAATCACAATGACACAATGAAGCAGTAACTGAGTAAAAATAAAGAAGTGTGGTGTTATTAACTGGCCTCACCTCCACGCATGTATTCGCTACGTTCACGCTCTCTCTCTCGCTCCCTCTCTCGTTCCCGCTCTCTCTCCCTCTGCTCCCTCTCTCGCTCCTTCTCCCTCTCTTTCTCTCGCTCTCTGTGCTCACGATCCCTCTCCCTCTCTCGTTCTCGCTCCCTCTCCCTCTCCACACTGGCTACGAGATGGCCAGGATGTCCTGTGACAAAGACACATGCATACACACAGACAGACAGACAGACAGACAGACAGACAAACAAACAAACAAACAAACAAACAAACAAGAACATAGGATTGTGGTCATATATACGTTTTGTACAAAATTTCCATTAGGAACCGAAACAATGAGCGTTTCCTTGCTGTTAAGTCAAGCTGGAAAAACTGGACACTGATTATCACCCCCTAGAACACAGTAAAACAAGGGCCCCTGCGAAAAAGGTGGAACAGGCAAAGGTAAGACGAACAGAGCACCATCTTCGCCAATGAATAGCATAATAACTCAATATCCATAACACAGTAAACTTTAATTTTACCTCTTGCTGCAATACATTAGGATGCACTGACCGACAGTTAGTTTTTTCATGCACATACTAACACTTCAGATGATATTAGATTAGGAATAAATGAGAATGAAATGATTGTTAGGGTTCTACGATTTGAAGGAAGAGCTTGAACAAAAATGCTAACTAAATTAACAATGAATGGGTGCTGGTAGCCACCAACCATGTAATTTGCAGAAAGCTGCAGAAAGTTTTCTGGCAACATCGTTCCTTTAAATACTGGACAATGCATCTTAGCTCATCTTCAATGTTTTTGTAGATGAAATTTCCAATAATATTCCTACTGGAAATTAAAAACTTTAAATTAAATTCAGTTTAAAATAAATTTAGTGATTAAATTCATGTCACACTTTGTAGTGGGGAAGGTTCAATGAACATTTTAACTCAAATAAAAGATATCTGAATGTGTTCCAGTTTGAATACAAACTCTTAATGATTCCATAATGCATCCATAAACGAAATCCTACAAGATCGTATACCAACACCTTAAGCATGTAGCATCAAAGCTTCAAAAAAATAACAGTGAATCACTGTAACAATAAGAAAACCCAAGAAGAGGAGCCATGATGTGGTGAAGCTAACATCTTATCAGTCATCAGAACCCACATTAAACCCTTATAATACCAACACCATGATTATGAGGTAGCAGTGAAATCCCTTAAGAGACAGATTGAAGTTGCAGTCACCCGTAAATACAGATCTAGGAGCAGCTTTATATAGCCTTATACCAGCCTGAATCATCTGGAGGTGACCGATCAGGCTGATTCTAGACCAGTATTGTGGGGCAAGCGGTGTCTTTTTTTTCCTTTTTTTTTCACCATAGCAGCTGGGGTGGAAGGAAGCAGCGAGGGCTGGCTTCAGGAACATGAAGAGGTGGGCAGGAGCAGTCAGCAGGCAGAGCAGAAACAGCAGGTGGAGGTGACCTAGGTCAGGCGGTACACATATAGCAGGGGGATTTCAGGAAGGGTCAGGGTTGGGAGTGTAGACGTCCTCACCTGGAGATATGGAGGCTGGGTTGTAACCCCTATGAGGAAAAGAGGGCTGAGGTCCAGGGATGTACGTGATGCGGTCCAGGGTGGGGGAACCTGTCCCCCCAGGGTGAGGCAACAGGATGGTGGGAGGCATCTGGGCTAGATCAATTATACCTTTTACAGACAGAAGCAAAGGGCCAGAGGGTGAGCAATCACAACCAGGGTCACTGTTAACTTCCACTCAAGAGCCAACACCCTCGACTGAGCTTCTAGAAGCTTAGAAAAGCACAGCAGCCGTTTGGACTAGAGTCAGGCTTTCAAATTTGGAGCGAGCAGTGAATTGTAAATTCTAATACAAATTGATACAAGGTGTTTTCACAAATTAGATCAATTACAGAAATCAGTTAGGGCTGAAAGCTGATCAAACGTAGCATTAATGCTGTAAGCGTCACATCATTAATAATACTACAAAATTGCTATTAGTGGTTGTTGCATGTGGTTAGATATGGTGCAGTGTGGAATAGTGGTTTTAGGCAATGGGACTTGAGCCAAAAGAGAATTAAATCCACTCTTGAGTAACTGCACCCACATTTTTGTTGTATTTAATTTAATATTATATACTGCAGCAAATGGTCTATTTAGCATAACATTTAATACACCATGAATCACAGTGTATTAAATTAGAAAAGTTCTATATAAAATGACATCCTATTTTGCATGATACTGTTGCTGATCTAAGGAGCAGCCTCAGCCCTAGATTCAGATACTGAATCCAATTTGAAAGGATTGATTTTTTTTAATTTTTTTTTTTTTTTGTCCTTAGGGTCATTTGCTTCTGATCGTCTGGAAAAGGTTGCCACTAGTTCACACGAGCACAAGGTCTACAAACTACACCCATCCCTCTTAACGCGGCACGCCCTCACCTCTGGCTCCAGGAGGGTATGGGATGGTGAGCTGCTGTTCCCGTGGCGACAGGCCCCTGGCAACGTCGGGCCGCGGGATGACCTGCATCTGCTGAGAGGTGATGTAGTCATTGAGGATGGTCTGCCGTGTGTTCTCCATTGTGTACAGCTGGTAGGTGTTAGGGTAGCCGGTCGGGGACGGCTGACGCTGGAACATGTATGCTGCAGGGAAAGGACAGCATGAGAGGTTAACCGATACGGTGCTGTCGTCCAAATGCTGACGTCAATGGAGAAATTCTGACCCAAACACTCATGAGGCCAAACAGGAGACTATGATTATGTATGATACTCACAACTGGCCTCACATCAAATTTCATGATAAACGCAGGACACTTATCACAGCTTTTAATCGTGTGTTTACAGAGATGATGATCCACTCCCTCATTTTAAGCTACACTCTAGGAACGTGTTATCTTTTCATCTCACGGTTTGTGACGTCTTTATTACCTCAGGATTGCACCTATAATATATCCCAGCACTAGCGGACAGCATGTGAATTTCCATTCATGTTATTATTGGGTCATGTGTATTACCTGGGTCAAGAACACGATGGTGGAAGAGATTGGGATCCAGATGATGAGGCAGGTGGGCTCGGTACACCTCTCCAGCCACCACAGGCCTGTGATGGGGATCGAAAGGGCTGTGCGAGGCCAGCGGGTCGCTCCCGGAAACGGGAGACTTGGCCGGGACGCTGTCTCTCTGGGTTGGTGTCAGCGTGCTCTTCCTCTCATGAGAGACAGGTTTTCCTGATGTTATACCTCCTATCAAACAGAGCAAAAAACACATGACTAAACAGCTGTGTTCTTTCATTTGATGTGCAGCATTACTTGTTAGATGGAGAGATAGAAGTCTAGCTATTCACGCACAACAGGACAAACAAGCTTAAGCTTGGACATTTTAGAGAATTGAGTAGCTAACAATTATCAGTGTTGAAATTATGGAGAAAAGAAGTCCTCTGTGGTCTGTAATTGGTTTGCTTTTCTTAAATAAGATGTCTTTTGTTTTCATCAGGAATTGAAATACTAAAGCAAAGTACAGTAGTTAAAGCTGAGCAATATGAAATGCACACAATAATAATCAATAATTCCTGCATATTATTAATTTGGTAAAATTTAGTAGGATTAATAAGCTACATCTCATCTCATCAGCCCTAGAAGGAAGGAATTTAACATTAAAATAAATTTTAAAAAGAATGAAAAGAAAGAAGGGGTATGAAAAAAGGACGTAAATATGAAAGCGGAATAAGCCAAATAAAAATGCATGAGAAAAGAGATGGGCACCCACACCCTCAATGCTAATGTAAAACGTAATTAATAAAGTCCAATGAGGACATGCAGCAGAGAAAGAAAATTAGCATACCCTCTTGCGCTCTCAGCAAAGGTGACCCCCTGGAGATGGAGCTGGTGGTGTAGTTGGGGGTCCTGCGGGCATTGGCGTCTTCATACATGCCAGGGCTTAGCTGTGACTTGCTGGCCTCCTGGTGTGTGGAGCGCAGCACCGAAGTGGAGTTGACCACGGATGTGTGCCGCATGCGCTCCCTCTCTGAGGCCTTGGCATCCTCGTACTTGATACGCTCACGTTCAGCCGCCTCCATTGCTGGATGCGGCAGTTTTCCTGGGCTGGTGAGCAGAGACTTTACGTTGTGTTTGATGGCTGACTGGTTCACAGCACTGCTCTCATACTTTAGAGGGATGCCCTGGAAAAACAAACAGGTGAGAAGAGCTGTGTTTTGGCCTAAAAAGCAATCAAGGATGACTTCTCAGATGCTTTTAAATGGGCCTGGTCACTAAAGCTACTAACAATAACTATCCAAAACAACATCAATGATGCAAGTTTGAGGTACTTTCGACAATTAGCTGTGCTGTGGCTGAATCCGGTAGCAAAAGTCTGAACTCTGAACAACTGCTACTTCTGTACGCCAGATGGCAGTGTAAGGGGGCAGGGAGAAGTCTTCTCTAACCATTCATTTAAAACAGCACAAACCAGCGGGATGGAAAACAAGTAACACCAGTAATACATATGCATGAACTAATCAGTGATAATTATCAATATCAAATGATAAGTAAAATTAAAGATAGTAAGATCATCAGGCATATCACACAGCTCCACTATTAAATATCTCACCTGGGTAATAGATCCTTCCATGACGGGGGTCTTGCGGCTATCCTGTGTCTCCTTACGGGGTATCTCATGAATAGAGCGGCCCATCTCTTTAATTGTGTTCACGCCCTCATAGGGCTTGCCCTTGGTGATCCCGCCCTCAAACGAGCGGATGGGTGGACTCTCCCTCTTAATCTGTTTGCCATACTTGGCTTCATCGAAAGCTTCGGCAGAGGCTCGTGGTGTCCCTGAAATGAGCAACAAAAATTCAGTGAAAATTTAGATTATTGATAACTTGGTCACAAATATCAAGCGCTCATCCTTGTATGTTTACCGGATGATACATATAAATATTAAATTATTAGTCTGTGTTCTACTGAAATCAACTGTATTGTGTCCACGTTTTTTGCCAGATGATCAGACAGTAGGGGAATGGAGTGTTCCACCACCTTGCATGATGGATCCTGTGAGTATGGGCCTGTCCTTGGTATCAGCATGGGGACCATCTCTGGGTTGAGCTCTGCTAATCAAACCTGAAAAAGAACAAAAAGCAATCTTAACACAGCTGAAATATTTGTAACGAAAGAAAAACAGTCCATCCTCCATGGAGCTCTCCTTACCCTCGTAAGGCGCAGCCTCCCGTACAGGGTGCCCTCTGTCCATCATATCATACGTGCGTTTGAGCTCATGACCAGTCCTGGGGCTTCTAGTACCTTCTCTGGGGTTCTTGATGGCTGCAGACACAAAAACAAATTCTTTTAGGTTTAAATCAATTGTATTTGTTAAAAAAAGACAGACATATTTAATAGCTATAGATGCATATGTGGCAGTTGATTTTGCAATATCCTCCAGATTTTTGTTTAGGCTAGTAAGATTTTAATAAACCAAACTCTTTCCGAGACGGATGTAACATCAGTGAGAAGCAAATGTTTAAAAAATAAATAATAATAATAATAATAATAATAATAATAATAAATCATTTACTATTCGATGACTTTTTGAGTCTACATTTAGCTACATTTACTTTTCTGGCATACAAACAGATGCTTTAGTGCACAAAATGAATTTAGCACTTTCATCGGCTGTTTAATTAGAGCACAGCAGAGTTCTGAGAGATCCATATCTCACCATCGTAGGAGATGAGGTGTCCACTCTTGCTCTCATAGATGACATGGCCCTTGGACATTGCCTCAGCACGGCTCTTCTCTGGGCTGGTGAGATCCTCAGTGGCCAGCTTGGCGATGGTGCCCTTCAACAGGTCTGCTGCTATGCTGGACTGCTGCAGCGCCGGGGTGCCCTGAACCCAAGAAACAACGAGGCAGCAAAATAAGAAGAAAGGCATAGAGAACACCACTAGAAGAGTGCAACAGGCACTGTAACAACCAGTACGTTCAACTGCTTTTAGTTGTCCTTTACTGTATAGAGAAGTAAGTTCAGTCAAGGAAAATATCTCTGAGTTCAACTAACTGAATGTATTAAATAAACAATAATGAAGTGTACGTACATGTGTAATTGAGCCTCCTCTGAAGGGAAGTCCCTCAGGACCCTTTCCTGTAGGGCCTCTGCCCAGGTCCTGAATGGCAGGCATCGGTCCTCCTGCAGAAGAGTGAGGACAAGAAGAAGGAAGATAGAAGAGCCAGAGCAGAGTTAAGGGGCATGAGTGTGTCACTGATTATAAACATTTTAAAATGTTATAGCTAAAATGTTTCTCATAAATGTTTGTAATAAATACAGGTTTGCATCCATGGACAGAAAGTATCTCTGAGCAAGTAGAAAAGCTGCTCTGAGCAGGGGAAAAGAGGTAACAGGTCAGAGATTTTAGAGGAGATTGATTTGTGGTGGCTCATTTTAGTTGGCTCTTTCTCACCAGCATAGCACATTCTCTCAGGTGGGTGTTAACAGAACCCAGCATGCAAGATGCAGAGATGACCCTTTGGACTAAAGGTAGGGCCTTTTCTTTTACAGAAAGAACTGGTGTGTCATATAGAATATTTCTGGTATAGTACAAGTGTGTAAGAGTGTGCATGTATGTGGTCTCACCTCTGACCACTCCTTCGTACTGCGCCCTGGAGAGTAGTCCTTCAGCCTGAGCAGTTTGCCCACGTGGAGAACACTCCTCCTGCTTTATATAGGACACTGTTGGGGGTAGAGACATAAAATTCAGCCCATTTCTAACAAATTTACCTAACATTTACCTAATTACTAGGGCCCAAATGATACTTTTAACATCTCTTCTAGAGCTCAGAATTGGTAATTACTAAACAGATGGCTCAGCCAAAATATAAAATACTCAATGTACACTCGAACGACTGCAAACAGATCAATCATATATTAATGCTCAAAGTTCTGATATTTTATAAAAGCTGTATATCTAAACGTTGTTCATTTTCAAAGTGATTTCACAGGGATTTTACTCTGGTTTACTCAGGTTAGGCAGCATGGTTCAAAAAATTTGTTAGATATTTTTTCAATTACTGTTACCAAATCTTTTCTGTCCAATCAGTTGTGATTTTTTTATTGTATATGATTTTTTTTATTTACCAGTAGGCCTCTGTTTACATCTTTTGGATTTTTGGAAGTTATTAAATTGCCTGGACTCAACTAATTACCTGACATTAAGATTAATGGCTAACAGCTAACACGGCCTCTCTAAGACAGGGTGTCCGTGTGAAATGAACAAATAAATAACAGAAATACAGTACACCGAGCCACCACACAGAAACACAATGTGCACGTCCTTCCAGTCCCACTCCCTCTCCCTTACCAGGCTTGGTAGGGTCCTGTTGTCTTGGCAGGCCGAGTGAGATGGATCCTCCAGCGCTCTTGGCCCCCTCTGGCCCATACACAGTGTGCGTGTGCGAGGGCAGATATGTGCCCGGTGTTCCCTATGGGAGCAGGGACAGCCAGGAATCAGAATACCAGGAAAACAACGTCACACCCCTGCCCCGCTGACATCGGAGAGGATGCCGTTCCTTCAGCTGAACTAATACTCATTGCAAAGAGGTATTTGATATGTGCTGTTGGGTATAGTAACAGTCTAGCAAATGCATAAAAAAACATTTGGAAAATTGGTGGAAAGAAAGAAAGAAGGGTCTATTAACGGTAATTTGTTATTGCCTAATACTTTAAGTGCACTCAGAATAACGACGCTATTCACTAAGTTAGCCTTTAGTAATTAGGCATGGGTTTTATTTCTCTCTCTGACGTACCTGTAAAATAGATCCTCCTTGGATGAAGGCGGGCTTGTCTGAGGGTTTGGAGGTGGGAATGAGAGGAGGGGGAGACGGAATGTTTGCCGGCCTGTGGCGGGAGAATGGCATACGCATTCCATCTGGAAGGTTCTGAACCACCTGGTTAGGAGCTGGCTGCAGGACTGCGGATATTAGAGAGGACAAGAAGGAAATGTTATAAAGATGAGTACAATGACACGGTGTTGTATGTTTTCTAGTAGGGATGCACTGATATGGAGCCTCTGGGCCTATGACCTACAACTAATGTAAACATTTTGCATTGAGACAGGTTCACGACTGATATGAAGAACATGAAGATCAGTGAGCATAAGACATGTTTAACCTCTAAACATCGCATATGGATTCATTTCACACAACTATGACATGGCTAAATCAGCCAGGACAGTTAAATAAAACAGAAATATTTAAAATAGCATACTTGGTTAACAATGGCTAAAAAAGTACATTTTAATAATAGGCTGTAATTTCAATATGTGACCAATAATAATTGAATTTTCCCATTTATCAGTGAGTAATATATTGTGCACCCCTATTTTCCATGTGAGATCTTGGATTCATTCCAGCAAAGGCCCAGCGTAAGCAGAGAAGTTCTAGTGAGGACAACTGCCACTCAGTAACGTCAAAGTTTGTCAGATGCTAGAGGGCGCTCCTGAGCGAGTCCAAAATGAATAGATTCCAACGATGCTTTCATGCTTCATTGTAGTTTGTAAAAGCTTTTTTTTTTTGGGGGGGGGGTTTCCCCAATCTTCTCCCCAATTTAGTTGTATCCAATTCCACCCACTAGTTGGGCTAGCATCACGCTGACTGATGGCGAGAGACGGGGGGCCATCCTACCCACCCAGAGAAAGTGAGGCCAATTGTGCTCTCTTGGACTCCTGGCCGTGGCATCACCAGGGATCAAACTCGTGATCTCGTGATCACCAACGCTTAGACAGTTGCACCACTTGGGAGCCCATAGTTTGTACATGCTTAATCACTTTTATACAGAGAAATGCACAAGTTTTCTCAACACAGATCAGTACAGCTCACATTTTTAAGTGCTCTTGTCTTCCAGTTATAAGACTTTCTAAAAGTGTCTTATGTACAATCACAACGTCAGTGAGCGCAAACAGGTTTACTCAGTCAATGAGCTGCTCAGCTCACCAACTAATCAGCACTCAGCAGCATTTAAACATCACATCTTTTTTAGTTTCCAAAATTAAAGGAAGCTCCTGCACAGGCAAAACAAAACTGTTTGATTTTACGTTTGGAGACGTTTAGCTCCATTCACCCCCATTACCTGAGGACTCACTCATAGAAACCCTAGTGTTTTGCAATGATGTTTTTGGTATAATGTGAGAATTAAGAAGTGGAAAAGCCCCCCTTGAGCTGTCTCTGGTGTGACAATTCAAACATGCAGGAGCACACCTGATTTCACTTGTTTAATCAGTCTACAAACAACCAACCATCTGTTCTCTTGCTTTGTTTGAATGAAAACCTGTAGCCACACTGACCTTCTGTGAATATGATTGCACACCCCTGCTGTACACAAATAAAGCAGACAGGGAGGTTTCATTTAACTTGTTTTATAACATAACACTATAACTGTTATTAAACCATGTTAAATAGAATTTTAAATAATTTACATGTAGCATCAACACTGTATATTTGTTCTGTCATTGGGTGAGGAGGTAGGGTTAGGGTCACTTTCTGCTGAGCCAAATCAAACGTCCTCACGGGCCAACTTTGGGTCATTCTTTGGGCAGCCCTTGTCCAGGGCAAACACTGATCCAAGAACACTTGAATAGTTTGATAACACCATCCGAACATGACCTACTTAACTGCTGAAATGGAACAGTTTCATACATCTATTTTTACAGAGTGACAGAAGTGCAGAAGAAGGCATTATAAGAGAGGCCTAAGTGCAAAGAAGCACCCCACTTCTACAACCCAACATGGGTGCAAAGACATTGGAAAAAAAGAGCTTGGGGTCAGGGGGCAGCTCATGGCACACATAAGCTCTTCCATTCACACAGCTGTGTCCAAGTGTGACCCACGCACAGCTCCTTAAAAGCTTCAGAACCACGCAAGCACTAAAAGCACCCAGGTCCATTTCTTTTACCATTCACATGGTCTTATGCATAGGCACTGATAAAATATTGAGACGTGAACTCTTGCGCCATGTAAAAAGCAGCAGCTTCAATGAGATAACTGACTATAGAGTGTCATGCATAATACAGAGTGTTTAATAAAAGCAGTGCATTATGTCAGCCAAGGAGCACATTTTCACTTACTGTGTTAAAAGTACAAAAGCCAATGTTTAATGGATCAGTTATGCAAAGTACCATTACAGAGTGTTCCCAAGCCATCAAGAAAGATTTGACTTCATGTCTAGACTGAGGACCAAAAGTTTGCCATAACGCACCTAAAAGCTTCAACACAATTAACAGTTAAATTGCTCTGGACCTCCTATCACATTCACTTGGTGAAGCAATACGACCAGGATGTTCCATTTGCTGGCTTATCTAATTTTTTTCCTTTCCGATAGAAACGTCCAGACCGCTAGAGTTCAGTTCCGTGAGGTGAGTTTCCAGACCCTTCAGAAGGCTGATAAGTGGAGCAGGTCACATGTGAGGAGCTCTGGACCAGTTTAACATGTGCACTGGGAGCCACATGACCGCTCACTGTTTTCCTTCAGGAACAGGCTCAGACACCAAGCCTTGGAAACAGCAACGCAACATGCAAATGGGAGGAAAGAGTAGCTAGTTCTCAGTGTGTGGTGGTTAATGTGTGTGTGTTTATCTACGCACCAAGATGGTCACAGACAATGTAACAGATAGGAAAATAATTTACTCCATGACTGGTGCCTCCAAAAAAACAAACAAAACAAAATATGCAACACAGGCTGGTGAATTATTTATTTTCATTTCATTCATATACCTTGCACATGGTGGTTAAACACTACCACTGATGACTGCTCTATACTGTTAGTGTCCCAGAAAATATATTGTAAAATATTTAAATGGTTGGATGATACTAAAATTGGGTGCTATATAAAAAAGTTTAAAATGGGAAAAAAATAAGAAATACAACAAAAGGTGGCTTAAAATCCACTTTTTTTGTATTCTAAGAATATAATAATATTCTATTCTAATTAACACCTGTGATTGACAGCCCTTAGTTAAAACTCCCAGCCTGCTATGCCAATAAAGGAGAATGACACACAACAGCATGAGCCTGGAGAAATTAGTTAAACAGGCTCTACATATGCAAGTGGTGTTGCTGACTATCCCCGTTGTGTACACTCACTATATGGCGATTCTTATTCAGTTATTTTTATTTACGCCATCATTCCTTGTGCGTCCAGGAAATGCTGGGGTGGCCAGTTGAACAAACAAACAAATGGACAAACCGATGGACAGACTACAGGCAAATATATAACCTTGCTAGGTTAGCTTTGGTTTGGTTGTTAGTTAGCTTTCTCTTAGGAAGTTTCTCAGACTCTAACAGAGAGACTGCAAGAGAACAGTTTTGTGAAAGCTGTGTGGGCGAGAAAAGCCACATAAGCCTTGCAATTAGTGAGGTTCTGGCTTACTAATATGTGACCCAACATTAAGACTATCCAGTTCACATGGAAAAACGAGAGTGTTGGCAAAATACGTTGGTCATTTATTGGACATTGGAAAATTTATACATGTATATTGTGTGCCCACAACAGCAAGACTAACCTACATTTCTTACATGTTGTTTTCCAGTTCTAGAGGGTGGTTAAAGGTGGTTTAAGGATAAAATCACTAAACTATACCAGACTCCCATCCACTTGGTCCAGAATAACCACTGCCACACATTATCTAGTGAGAACCTTTGGTAGTGAAGATGAGAGTAGGTGTATTCACCTGGTGGGACACTGTAGCGGGCAGGGTTGTTGGGGTCCGGCTGGGGGGAGGCTTTGCTGGGCTCTCGGGGAGAGAGTCTGTAGGGGGAGCCTGGTCTTCCTGCTCCACCATGAACCTCCTGCTCCATCAGCTTCATATCGTAAGGCATGTAGGTAAACGGCTTACCTGAGAGAGAAGGAAAACAGAAATAAAACACATCACAAAAAGACATACACATGAAAACATCTGTGCCCACCTGCTATTTCTTGTACACTTTGCCAAATTTACCTTCAGAAGTCTGAATCCTGAAGCAACTGAGACAAAGCTCACAAGAACATCTGACATATCCAGTCAGTGCTGTGAATTTAATGCCACAAATACCAAACACACCAAAACAGTACTAAGCCAGCGGAATCCAGCGACTCAAATGAAGGGCGAGAAAAGCTTTGTGTGAATAATCAAGCACTCTGGCTAATGGTCATCACTATGTGAGACTGCCCCAATGTTCCCTTTGGTTGACTGCCTCTGTCTGGCTCTTTAAAATGGCAGCCTTTTGCTGTCTGTCTTATTTTTGCTCTGAGCCCTCGTGTTCTGCCCTCAAAGTCCTGGAAAGCCCTGTCTCTTCAGACCATCATTCCAGATACAGAGACACATGCCCTCCTCCGTCCCAAAGGAGTCTGGGAAAGAAAGGAGACACCGCATACTTCACAAGAACACAGCCCAGTACAAAAAAGGGGGAGTATAAGTTTCCAAGGGTAGGGTACTGCACACTGATATACAATGTTCCAGATGATCTGCGTAATGAAGAGTTTGAGTATAAAGGTTTCATAACTGCTTCTTTTTTTTTACAGAAGAAAAAAGACCAGATTAAAATAACAAACTTATCTTTTTTCTTTTTAACCAGATTAGAACAACAAACTTTCCTACTCCCAGGGTCAGCGCTTTTTGGTCAGACGTTTTCCAAAACAGAAGACGACAGACAGTCGAGAAAACATATAATTGGTGAAAGGACACAAAACACCAGCTCGAGACAACCACTTGGTCTTTGGCCATTCATCATCACTTCATCTTCACCACACTCTCCTCCTTCTTCAAAATGCTCACTTTAAAGCAGCATCCTCATTTCCTATTTTCCCTCTACATCACTTTCCACTCGGTTACATTAATCTAATTCAGCCTCATTTTCGCTGAACCCTTCACTCTTTCTGTAAACACAGATTGCAAAAAGGAGGACTGTAAAAGTAGGGCTGTCTCAAATAATTTGAATGCTAGAGCGTTAGTTTTTCACATTGGAATTCTGTTCTTTACACAGTATTCACAAGTTGTGCCATTTAAGCTAAAAGAGCAAAGATACACACAAAACCATGGGATGGGAGCACTTTGATGAGAAATATACTCAGTACAAAACGTGCAGTAAGGGTCTGGTATACCATAAAGGCATCAGAAGTTTGAGGAATCATCTCAAATAGGTAAGTATAGCAGTACTTATCTGAGTACTATGAGGCTCTGTTGGGGAGACACTAAAACTGGGTAGCTCAGAGCCTCAAACCTTTGCTGTGGTGAGTTCCAGTACAGCCGAGACAGAGAAACATCAACACTGCTGCCGCCTTGGGTGTTCGAGGGTGAAGCTCAGTCTAGTCACTATACCCAGCAACCTTTTGGGCCACGGACCAACAGCCACAGAGCTCAACAACTCTATGATTGAGATCAACTCGCCCTTAGTGCTGCTTTCCATGTTCAAAAATGGCAAACTAGCCAAATAAAATCACTCTATAAAAGAAAAAAATTAGTAAAACTAAAACTGTGACAATAAACTAAATGCTTAATCTATTACACACTTAGCATCTAGATATGTTCTCCTGAGAGCATATTTGGAGCATACTGGAATTACAAATTCCAGCACAGCAACACAGTGCACAAGCAGATGGGCTTCAGCCTGACTACCGATACATCACTGATGCCTGCTGGATATTTTAAAACTGTAATAACAAACAAGCTTAAATTATTGTTAACTATGAAACAAATACTAACAAGTATTCAAATCCTATAAGTAGCAGTTCAGACCAGCCCCACGTAAAATACAAATATTTCCAAATATACAGTGTAAATTTATAATCCCACTCACTCTGCTGTGGAGACACTTACCGTACTGGGTTGTATATTAATGTAATGCATCACAATCAATGTAAACAACAACAACAAAAATTGATATTATGACTAACTGGGTTAATCCTGAGCTAATCTGAGCAGATCAGTCACAGCTTCATCTTGTCAGTAATGCAGTGTATGGTGAATGGCTGAGTCTGTGTTCTAATACTTTTGGAGAGAGAATTCTTACCGTCTCGGTCGAGTATGGTGGGGCTGCGGGTAGTGAAGCGTGGGCGACGCTCTGCCTCCCCGGGCTCTTGCCGCTGGTTGTCCTCCAGGTGAGCTGACTCGTGCACTGCTTTGATCTGGTGCTGGAACATGGTAAAGCCGCTGAGAGGAGCTCCTACAGGGACGCCAGCTGTCCCAAAGGGACCAGATACCTGGAGAGGGAAAATACCAGATCAGAACTAAAACCTCACTGCACTACAGCTTCTAATTAGAACCCTCAGCAGGCCTGAGCAAAAAATCAATAACAATAATCATCAAAATCTTTTTTTATATGGACATACATTATTTATAATATAGTAAAAAAGGCTATGTATGTAAAGAAATTTAAAACTTCAGGTGTTCACAGAATGTAGGTAATTTGTATATCAAGACATTAATCAAACAGAGCAAAAGGACCTGAACATAATGATTATGATTATAATTATCTACAATTATTGGAGGACAGGGAAAAATATATCATGAGGAGATTTTATTTTCTTTGATACCATCACGGCCAGACCAAACCCTCAGTATTTACTATATGTATATACATATATATTTATATTCTTATTTATTCATGTGAAGAAATAAGTACACCCCATGGCAATCTTTCCTTTTTTTGACAAGTGGACAGTATTTGATCTTCAGTTAAACAGTATGCATAAATAAACTTTAAGTAAGAGAACAAAAACCAACATGGAACATGAAAATTTGATTTTGCTATTATTTAAAAGGGGATGCCATTTTTGTCTGCTGGCCCTGTAACTGTCTACCAGCTTCTAACATTTATTAGGAGAATTTGCCCATTCCTCCATATAGAATTATTTCAACTGCGCAAGGGGGGTTTCTTGAATGTACAGCCTGTTTCAAATCCCCCCGCAGCATTTCAATGGGATTCAGATCTGGGCTTTGATTAGGCCATTCCATAACGCCCCCCTCCCGTCCCCCCCGTTTTTATTTCTTTTATACCATTCCCAGGTACATTTAATTGTATATTTGGGATCATTATCCTGTTGGAAGGTCTACTTCTACAGCTTCCACTTTTTCAAAGATGGTCTTCTAAAGCACTCTCAGGCACGAAAGAGAATTCATAAGCAGTTCTAGGATTGCAAGCTGACGAGGCCCTAAGGTAATAAAGCAAACCCAAACCATAAGATTTCCACTACCATGCTTTACAGGTGGCAAGAGGCTCTAATTATCAAATGCTGTCTCTGGTTTTTTCGCCAAACACGGCTTCTTTTACTGTGGCCAAACAACTATCTTTATCTCATCTGTCCATTTGTACACTGTGTCAGAAATCCTGGTCCTTGCCTAGACAATCATCAGTAAACTTTAGCCTGGTCCCACTGTTCTTTGTAGACAGCAAAGGCTTCCTTCTGGCACACCTCCCATCAAATTTGCGCAGTCTTTTTCTAATGGTAGATGCATGCACTTTCACATCAACAATGGCAAGAGCTACCTGCAGGTGCCGTAATGACATTAGAGACTTCTGTTCCCATCTTAGGGTCTGCTGTCTGGTTAAATTTGCTGGGGCGGCACGGCCTGGACAAATTGGCATCCTCTCCACTTAAATCTTCTCCACTTGTAGACGTTCTTCCCAACAGCGGAATTAGTGATTTCCTATATTTTGGATATCTTCCTAAACCCCTTCCCAGACATATTTCTTTTTGAAGGTTTCAGAGAGCTCTTTTGATCTAGGCATGTTGATACTACACACTCCAATAACTAACAGCAAATCAGACCAGATATCTGAGGTTTAAATAAGACAAGTTCCTCTAAGCTATAACAGCGTTCTAAATCACAAGTACCTGATCGGGTGCGTCTGATTTCAATTTGACATGTCTGAAGTAGTGATAAGTGATATATGTAGGGGTGTACTTACTTTTTCCAAATAAGAAAACTGCATTACCGTTTATTTCAGTTATAGGACAAAATCTATCACTTTTATCTATCAGCACTGCTTAAATGAAGATCTGACATGTATTTCAATATGTTGAAAAAGTCAACTTTTATGGGGTGTACTTACATCTTCACATGACTATATTTCAGAGCAACAACTTGAGAAGAGCCACACTTTGATGTCTTGTTTTGAACAGCTAATCCATGCCCACTTTGCACAGAGCTAAATCACCAAGACCTCCGCTTGCTGTAACCACACCACACAAGCACTACTAATACTGAAGGTGAAGTTTTGGACGAAGCCACAGCCACAGAGCATCGCTGTATACAATTATCACACTTCTTAGATGCAAAGCACCACATGAATCTTACAGGTAACTAACGTTTACAGTTTGCTTCGGAGAATAAGTTCTTGGGGGGAGGGGCAGGAGCGCCATCTCTCCATTTATTACAACTTTGCCCTCCAAAAAAGGTACTGTCAGCTGAACAAGACAGATAAAAATATAAAGTCTTACATTTAGTTTTTTATTAACGCTATAATCCTTTTCGGTAAAGACTTTTTTTCTTGGCAAATACTCCCCCTAGTGTCACTTACACTCTCCATCGTATCACTTAATTTGCTCAAGCGGTTTCATTAGGGCAGGGGTGCACAACTCTAGTCCTTGAGGGCTGGTGCCCAGCACAGTTTGGCGATTTACCTGCTCAAACACACCTGATTACACTCATCTGTGAGCAGGGGAACTATCAAACTGTTCTGGACTGCATTAGAGGCTTCAAGAGTGGTGCTTCACATCTATGGCAGTGGTCAGTCAATTTGATGCAGATTTCCACGCACAGATTGAGTCTTAAGCTTTTCAGTGGAAAGATCCCATTGATATTTGTTTTCATAAAACATTCAAAAATTAACCAGGATTTTTACTGATTCAAATCAATTCAGATCAATGATGTTGATTTAGCAGCTTTTGATCCAGGTTTATTATCTTTTTTTTGGCGGAGGTGGGCTCAAGCGTGGCCTGGACTCACATGGCGGGGCATCTGGGCTGAGGGAGACCAGCTTTGGGCCCTGGCTCCGGATTCGAGCCTCTCCCAGTCCCTTGGCCTGGCCCTGGCCAGAGGGGCATATCTGCTAGGTAAGTGGGGGATGGAGCTAGGGGGACTGACCATAGGGGGGATGCTGGCTGCCCGCTGCTGGAGTTGCTGCATGCTGAGCTGGGCCTGCTTGGCCGAAGACACTACCACAGAGGCACCTGGGGGGCCTCCAAGCAATGACGGCTTCTCCAAAGAAAACATCCTATGGAATATGAGAGAGAGAGAGAGAGAGAGAGAGAGAGACTAATTAACTTACATATTGTCAAAGAACATAAAGGGTCAGCTCCCTAAAAAAAGATTATTGTTTTAATACCATCAAAATGTCAAGGTTCAAGTATGATATTTTAGATACTTTATTATAAACAACTGTCCCCTCTCAAAGTGAGCTTAATGTAATGTATTCAAACAGGTATTTGACTGACTCCTATATCAGTACTTCCCTATTGTAAAGGTAGAACAAACAGACAAGGAAATACTCAAATTAAAAACACCAGCTACCTTATGTGAAACTTCAAGTGACTTTACACGGTGTGGGTGGGGCTATCTTGGCCACCAGTCCGCAGCAACATAAACAATACAATTTATTTGCTGTGGCTGCAACCACAAAGAACAAAGTGATCTAATATGTCATTAATGTAATAAATGACTTGCTGAGCAGTTATTCAAATGGACTGGATTCCAACATTGACATTTCTCTCTATCGTTACCTGGATGTCAACAAAGTACCTCACAGGCTGCATTTGCAGTACAGCAAAACCTGTTTTGCCACAGATTGTTCATTCTATAGGATACATCCAACTCGCTCACCTCTGTCTCTCTGGCTCGGCATCCACATCCTCGTCGGCGCTGCATGTGGCGCTTGAGTCGTTATCCGAGTGCGCCTGATCACCTTGCTTTTCGCCTTTCTCCCTGGCTTCTGGCTCTGTCTTCACCTGGATCTCTCCTCTCTCCCCAACTGCTGCAGCTACTGCCCCCGTGGCCATTTCTGTGTCCTGTGGCTCACTCTTAGGGTGCACCTGACCCTCGAAGGCTTGCCGTGCCCGCTCGTCCTGAGCCATGCCGTCGCCCACCGCCCCGCCTTCTGGACTCTTCTCCATCTTAACCTTAAGCTCCTCGAAGGGCTGCTCCTGGGCTTTGGAATCTGGGCCAGGGCCTTTGGCAGAGGCGGATTCTTGCTCTGAGGCGCTTTCTCCAGTGCTGGAGTGGGGCAGCGGGTCAGAGGGCTTAGAAGGGTCTGTCTGAGAGGGAGATGGGGCGCTCTCTGTGTCCGAGCTGTTATCTGCACCTGGTTCAATAGAGAGAGCTTATCAGAATAAGGCACCTCATAACATTCTGCATCTACAGTACTGGATCGAGTTTTATATTGGGAGGGGCAGTAATGTAATTATTACCGAAGAATCTCTGTTTAGTCCTTAGAAGCCTGTAATACATACCCCTTGCAGTTTGAATGTATGGGACGATTTTGATGGTTAGCTATAAACTACTAAGCTAATGACAATGCTAAAGACACAAAGCATTTACTAGAAGACTGATAAGACGGTCAGGATTTCTACCTTTTTTTTACCGTTTTGTCCTGTCATTTGCCAACGGTATCTTACACTGAAGTGGACATGGGACAAACACAGCGATACCATGTGAGTTGAGAACAAAGTGTCATCTTTAATTTGGCCCTAAACAATCCAATTAATCTAGTAAGAAAGGATAAAATTGAGATTGTCACACAACCTCAACATACTTTAAGAGTTTTCGATCACTTAGCGTTGCTCTTGCCTTCTTCGCTGAAGCCATTTCAGCTGAGGCTGTTCGAAACAACTTACGTCAAGAGCTGAGACGTTTCTACTTGTTCTTTCCCCTCACAACCAAAGTTGTGTTTCAGTCTGAAACCTGACGCTATGGTGTGAGGATGTCCTTAAATGTGCCCCATACCATACAGGTGACTTTTAGTACAGGCATGATATTTGCCAGCAGCACAGAATGTGTCGAACCAGCGCCACACTTTTAGAACGTCTCATCTGCTAAGTGCAATTAATGTGGTATTAATGCAGGATATCACATTACCCAACATATAAAAGCTCAGTTATGTTTACCTGTGGGAATACTGCTGTTTTGCTATGGTTTTCATAAAATAAATCAATAAATGAACATTTTCTGAACAAGTTGTACAGTTCCTGTAGGCTTAAGTCTTGCTTCATCCACTTCACCTCACCCTAGTCTCTAGGGGCAACAGCAGCAGACTGTGCAGAAACACCTGCTAGCTGGCTTTTTTTTTTTTTCTTTTTAAAAATCAGTTAATCAGAAAATACCTGTTTAGGGTTATTCACCAGACCCTGGCATCACAAAAAATGTCCAAAAGTTTGCTGTTATCATGAAGGGGGACTTCCCGCTGGTGTGAATGGGGTTCATTTCTCTGTTGCTTGCTTAAAGGGGAAATGAGTCCCCCCCTCCGTCTTGCCAAAACCACGTGACTGCGTTCTGGGAAATATTTTTTACATGGCAGCTCTCCCATCATGAATTCTCTGTGAAAGTAGGTAGGAAGAGGGTTTGTGGCTATAGCACAAAACTGTTAAATGCTAATCTAAGGCAGCAGTCAGTATGCGGCTAATAAGCCTACTTCCTCTTCATGCTGGTCAGGTGACAGCATAGCCTCAGTGGCTGGCCCCCTGCTAAGGGCAGCCTGCTTTCAGGGGCTGACACAGAAAAAGGAAGAAGACCTGCACTGTGGCTACAGGCAGCGAACTGTGACCATACAGAATCGCACACAAGGTGGAACCTCACGGAACTGTTCTGAAGTGTAACCATCAAAGTGACGGTTTAAGCCGCTCACATGCATAATGTGGTCACTGTCCTGGCCACCAGGCTGTCAGGTTTGCCAGCAGCAGGGAACTCCTTGCACTTGCTTGCTTTTTCTTCTTCTTCCTTCTCAAGACCACACTTTTCACGTCTTCCAAAGTCTCTTGATTTGCTAAGGATCTTGAGGTAAAACTGCACTGACGGCCTCTCCTGCATCTGCCCTTCTCTATCTCAGTCACTCCCTCTCAGGCAGCAGTAGAGTAAGCTGCAAGAACCACAGCTAACTTGGTTTACTTAAGTAGCAGCAGATTAGGCACAAGCATCCTGAGCGACAGAAAGAAAGAGACTGAAAGTGACACAAAGAAAAAAAGGAGGTGCATTGCATTAGACATGAAAATGCAACAGACGAGGAAAAAACATGAAAAAGCCTCAAGCTTCTTCCTGTCTCCAACTGATCCGTTTGAACAGTCAAAACACAACACGGTCCTTCCTCGTTACTGCTAACGTCACAGCAGAGCCAACCGGGTACTCTGGGACAACAGAGAGAAAAGGGGAGCTAAAACATGAGAACAAGTGCATGATAGGGTGGAATGAGTGAGGAGGGTCGAGAGGACAGCATAAGACGGCGGAAATGTCGGACTGGGGCACTGTAGAGCCGTGAAGTGGGAGATGGGGGAGGAGGTAGGGAGCAGAGTGGGATGAAGGGAGAGCATCATACCGGATCAAACAAGCAGTGGCGGCACTCGGCGTTCCTTAAAGCACACTTTCTTGAGTGTTCAAAGCCAAAGAACACTTACATAAGAGTAAGCCTGGCACTCAGAATTAGTCCAGATCCTTTTTCTCTCTTCACTCTCTTGCACTCTCGCTCTCTCTCTCTCTCTCTTTCCCTCTTGATTCTCTCCTCATCTGATCCTCTCTCACTCTCATTAGAAGTATAGACAGTAGCAGTAGTGGCCATGAACTCGCTGGCTGTGTGCTTCAGACTGTGGTTTCACTGTCAGCTCTAATCAAACATTCTGCCATGAAGCAGGTCAGTGCTGCCTTTAAAACACACTCAATCTCTGACAGAGATCCTTTAAGCCTGTATATCAGACTTCTCTGCACCAAAGTACAAATTATAGAGCTCTGGGTGGGATCCAAACCCCCTTTAAAAAAGACTTAACCTCTCCCAAAGGCAGTAAACACAACAAGGCTGGAGGGCTTCCTAAGAATCACATCTAGTAAACCATTTTAAACGCGAACACTGAAATTTCTCCGGCTGTGTCACAAAGCCTTATGGGATAGTCCATTGTACATTGTAGAGGTGTTCGAAAAACAGCTCTACAAAAGGACTATATCATTTCATATGAGGTTCAAGGCTGTCTTCCCTGTTACATATTCAGTCATTGTGAAAAACAAAAGAGATTGTCTTGGAAAACATTGTAAATTGGGTGGCTAAAGGCTTGCAGAGGCCAAAACTTGCACCCCTCCAAAAGGTTAACTTTAGATGCGATTCTACAGAGCTGTGCATCAAGCTGACTGGCTCTCCAGCAGAATCAGGGATGGGACGAGACCCAAATAATACTTGACAATAACCAGAACTAGTGCAAAATGAAATGGAACAGGTTTAGTTAGCAGAAGTGGCCCCTCACAAACATTTATACAAACCATCTCCAAAAATATTACAATACCAGTGAGTTCATGCCTGGAGAGAGATTGAAAAAGCACAGGACTTTCCTCTTCATTTTCTGTACACTGGACACTGCCCCCTAGCACACAATGTGCTAGGATGTTAGCACAAGCCTATTAGAACAACCGTGTGTGATGCAGATTCACAGACGCTGAAGCATAATTTGGCCTTTAACTGCTGAACATATGATACTAGCAATTCTACTAACTAGTGGATGAATATATCTTGCCACTAAGTTGCTAGTTTCCTATAGCTAGTCTTTTTAAAAAAGGTTTCTAAACACCCAAAACTTAAATTAATGTAGCTTTAATGTCCCAGGGAACACAGTGTAAAATATTAAAAATGTTTGCGTGGTACTAAAATTCACATTACATTAAATATCCAGCAAAGTTCAAATGAAAAAAGAAAAACAACAAAAAAAAAACTGCTTAAAAATATCTTATTAGACCTATCTGAGAACTGTCTGGGGGTGGGCCTAATAATCTGATGAGCATCTGTGATTGATAGCCCTCAGTCCAACACTACCAGCCTGAAGCAAAACTAAAAACATCACAAGTAGAGTGGGGGAGGAATGGCCTCTACATATGCAGGCGGTGGACTACTCTGCTGTTTTCATGGCTCGCTAAAACATTGTTTGGCTTTTATATAGTGACATCTTAAAGAACGTAAGGTTCCTATTCACTTGACTGCTAGATGCGCATCCAGGGACAGTCGTTAGCTAAATTTAGAACAATGGTCCAACAACTGGTCCACCAACACTGTTTGTGTGTGAGTATTTCTGTGATTACCTTCACTGTCATCTGGGTTCTCCTCATCATCGTCAGCTGAAGCCGTGGCCATACTGTCGCTTTGTGATGCGTCTCGTTCACGTAACCGTCTGGTCACCTACAAACACACATACACAGTGAGACCTTCTAAAACAGTTTCACCACTTTTCTAAATATGAATATGATGTTAGATGTTAACAGGGTGTCACCGAAGATGAGAAGGGTCTGAAATTGTGGTATGTGGTAAAGAACAATTTCTGTCCTATGACCAGCTTTTCACGTTATCTGCTTAATTGAAGTATAAAAAAAAAAATGGCACAGTCCCCAGATCACGCTCTGAGATGGGACACCAAAGTGCCTGAAATGCTGCTCGTTACCTGCTTGTGCTGCTGCAGCAGGTTGTCCAGGTTGTGGCGTCTCTTGTAGTTAAAGTAGAAGTTCTTGCATTGAGCCTCACTTTTGGTGCCTACCATCTTAGCAATAGCCGACCAGTTCCGCCCATGCTCCACCAGCCCTGCAGAGACAGAGCGAGAAGGGTTTGAGGTGTGACGCCAAAGAAGAAAGCATGCATGCTGGTAATCTGGAAAAAGACTGAAGATGAGGGCAGAACGACTGAATTTAAAAAGAGAACTCGATACATACAAGAGAACATACGCTTGACATGATTTCCATAATCCTCAGCTAAAATTGGACCACTCTGGTCCTTCGCAAACCAGCTGAAGTAACCTTTAGTACATGCAAATGAAAGAAGCACAGAGGACAAACGCTCTGCACACAGCCAACACAAAATCTAAATGTTCTCTTTCTCTCTCTGGTGTAAACGCACTTCTCCACCAGGTCAGTTATCTAACATCATGGACAGCAGTGACTTTGTGACCCCTTGAGAGCCTCCAGTAACGCTAATCCTCCAATCAGTTTGCTGTGGATGTACTGGTTAACTTGAGGGTTTAGGTAGCGCAGCAAGTGGAAAAAAGCCTGATCTGCTTTACTCTCAAGTACAAGTTACTATTCTCTATTTACCCAAATGAGCTTAAGCAGTACAAAAGAAACCCAAAAAGGATTACACAGGACTAACTCCCAGCAACATCCAGCCAGAAGATCCAAGAGTACAGAAAAGAAGGTCCAGCAGGCCTACTATGCAAAAGCTAAATGATACATTAGCAGTTTGTCATGTAAACGGTTCCATGGTAACATGCTCACGTCACCTAGCAAGGTATAACAAACTTACATAATCATAAATACAAAGCAAAGCAGTCATACTTTCAGCCCTGTTAACATTCAATGACGCTTCACTGAATGGTTGACCCGTTTATTTTCTCTTCATGTGACGCCGCATAAGGGGGCTTTCAGACAACACCTGTTTTCATGTGAGGCACACCACATCCCACCTTTAAAAAGAACCAGGATGCACTTCTTAGGGCTCGGTTAACACATTTGATTGACAAGAAGATGAACGAGAGCAATTTGAAAGAACATGAAAGCATCCTTGATATCACACGAAAAGTGCTGTGCAGGTTAAAGGGGTCAGACACTAATGAAAACAAGGAGCTTGAGGGGGTTTCAAATAGCCTCAACTGAACGCTTCCTAAATAATACTCAAGCAATGATCTCAGTATTCAAATACTGGCATCTGGTTTAATTAACTGAGCACTTAAAAGCCCATGCGCACCTCTAGTTCAAACAAAGAAGCTTCTACTCCTTTGTGCTTTGAAATGACTGTTACCTGCTGATCACTCTCCAACAGAAAAAACAGTTCCAGTGTTAACAGAATTTAAAACTGGGACTTGGTAAAGTCAGTGAAGCATAGCTACACACACTGTCAAAGAAAGCACTACAGCCATTTAAAAGTTAAAAAGCAGGGTACAGCAACATGCTGCTAGCTACAGAGCATTAGCTTAAAAGCCTTATGTTATATGCTGGCCTTTGCCACAGCTACAGGAGTCACCTCCAGATGTTTAACCAGGACTGAGACCCAAGTATACTGCAGTGGCACTGGGGCACTTCCACAAAGGGGTCTTAAGCCTGTTAGCCTGCAGAGCTGACAGCCTAGGCTGGAATTGTGTCAGGAAAATAAATAAACAAGGGTCAGATATGACTGAAAAATACATAAAAAAGGGGGTGTTTAGAGAGGGATTTAAAGCAGGGCGGGAAAATTGACAATATTCACTGTTGTGTTAAATGGCATCACTACACAGTTTTACTGAACATATGGTGAACATCATCAGTACACAAAAACAGCTGCATGTTGCATTACAAATAGACCATTATCAGTCCTGTATAACTGGATTTAGTGCAGTGCAGTACATAGATCTTGAACAAAATCACTGTATAATTTTGACAATTTCTTTAAATGTGGTACTACTGGTCATTTTTGGTCTGTTCTAACTTTCTAAACCTTAGAAAAAGCAAATATTCTGATGTCATGTTTTTGCTATATCGCCCCTTAAACTAAGGCAGTAGCAGAGATGCTATAAAAGAGGAGTCACTGGTTAAAATATGAATGGGAAAGCTCATAACGTTCAACATGGCATCTGTTTACGAGAAATATCCTAACCCTTCAATAAAATGAGCCGATCGGCTTGTTGTTTAAGCCGCAAGCTGGAAAAGTTCCCCCTCGTTGTGGAGGTATGTGCATCTGCAGTAGCCAGAAGAAGCTGAAAAACTGTGGGTTTTTTTCTGCTTTTGTCAGATTTTAACAGTGATTTCAAGTATGTGTTTTTCAAACGTTAATGTGGCTTTCAGTTGCAGTATGACATTGCCAGTAGTTTAATACTTTGGTTAGGGATGCAAGATATGGACAAAATACCATATAATATGTTGCTGTTACCATACACCTTCAAATTAGCAAACAATACTTGGAAGGCATTTTCAAGATACAAGATTTTTTTTTTGTTTCACAATATTTTATTTTTCTGATGTTTGATCTATTGGAACAGACAAAAAAAATCCCTAATGGGATCACTATGACTATCAAAACCTATGAGAACATTAATTTCTCAGATTATATAACTATATGACTAAAACTTTTGTATTTTTTTCTGGTAAATTTGTAGTTTGCAAGAATGCAATTT